CAGTTTGCTGGCATGTAGCACAGGAGAACCCCACGTCTGCGTTGTGTGGAGGAGCACAAAATGGAGAACCCCAAAGTACTGATGGCTGAACTAATCCCCGGATCCCAAACGGTGGAGGCACCTCAGCGCGGCACTGCCGACGCTGTGGGTACTGGGAGCTAGACTCGTTTTTATGCAGAGTCCTGCGCAGCGATGGGAGTATATCACGGTCAGATATGACAGAAAGCTTTTCAAATTGTACTTCAGGAACAATGTCGGCTTAAAAAAAAAAAATCTATAGGAAAATGCCTGCTATATTAACATCTTGAGCTCGTGCTGCCGCCAGCACAGGTTTGCTTTGTGTTTTGCATTTGCAGGCCCTTTGTCCGGCTGCCTTTGGGAAGATGTCTCCGTATCTCCACCATCCTTTCTACATGTTTTAGGCCAGTCACATTCATTATTAATTGTTATTTAACTTCATCCATATTTTTAGCCCCAAAGCACCATTACTGCTTTTCGCAAGACAAGATTTTGGAAGAACCTTTTGATTTCCAAGGTGCCTATTTCAGAGACATCTCTCTTAACTATCGAAGAAGCCCATTTCAGTTTTCTGACCCATTTTAAGGAGCTTTGGAGAACAGCTGAGCTGTATTGGCTTGTGGGTTTTTGGAAGGATTTCACGCTTTTTAAAGTTGTTAGCTCACCTGACATGTTTCAACCCTCTCTGAGCGCCGTTACTTTCCTTACCCTCTTCCACGTCTCTGATGCACCAGTTTGCATTTCCTTATTTTGTTCTCCTTTCCTTGGGTTTCCAGTCTTCCTCAGTCCTGAATATTGTTTTTCAGCCTTCTCAGTTTGTTGTCTTATTAATGTATCAGTCGGTCTCCCAGATGATTAATAAAGAGCTTATATAAGGCTTGTGGGGTAGCGCTGATCCCTCTAGTATTCTCGCAGACAGCTTTCAGCTACACGCTTTGATGTTTGGCCTGTGGTTTGTTTGTATTTTTTTCTTTTTTTTTTAAGTTAGCCTTCCATCTAGGCTGGCTTAAACGGACTTTAAAGCAAAATTTTTGTGGGAACGCAGTGTCAGATGATTTAGTAAGATCCCAAATTACATCTATGCCAAACATGGGAAGGAATTTGTCATTTACAATAACACAAGGAAGTTTGCAGTTTACCAGCTGCCAGCTCGATATTTTGTTTGCTTTAGATTGTCCTTTAGAAGACAATCCTTACATAATTTTACAACAGCGAGCTACAAGCTGTGCTTCAGATGGTATGAACTGTACGGCTTCAAGTATTGGCGCAGTGTGGTGTGTACCGCAAATTGACTCGGGTGATGACATTTGCATTATGAAACCTCAGGAAATTTGGTTGCCTTTCATGCAAATAAAAATGAGTCAGTTTTGGGGGTGGGTTTCTCAGTGTATTTTGTATTCTTTTTCTGTAGGAAAGTATAAACTTGTATTTTGGAGATGAGTTATACAGCAATGGAAAAGCAACGGTGGAGGGGATGGGAACAGTCTGTTTCCAGTGGTGCCCAGTGACAGGACAAGAGGGAACGGGCACAAACGTGACCATGGGCAGTTCCATCTCCACCTGAGGAGGGCCTTCTCTGCTGTGAGGGCAGCAGAGCAGTGGCACAGGCTGCCCAGAGAGGTGGGGGAGTCTCCCCCTCTGGAGCCATCCCAAACCCGCCTGGACGCCGTCCTGTGCCACTGCTGGAGGTGCCCCTGCTCTGGCGGGGGGTGGGATGGGGGAGCTCCAGAGGGCCCTTCCAGCCCTCACCAGTCTGGGATGCTGTGAGGTCTACATGTGTTGCACCACCTGCACAGTGCTAGCCAGAAGTCCCCCATGGCTACTTTGCTGTGGATTTTATTTGGATAAAGATTTGATCCAGTGGCTTTTTGGTGACATTCTGTCCCCTGTGATGTAGCACAGCTTGACATGCAGCGGCCAGCCCTGCGTGTCTTGCCCTGCACCATGAGACAGATTCGTTTCCCCTGGGCTGGAATCCTGGTCTTATGGATGGGGACAGAAGAGCAGTGATGGGTGTAGAGCATTGTTCACTCCTCAGCGTCTCCAGCATGGCTGGACATGAGGGACCATCCTCTGGCTTGTGGAGCCCTGTGCTCTTGCTTGGGTCTGAAGGTTCTTGCTGTCCAGATAGCTGGGTAAAGAAACTGGAGTGGGTGGTTCATTCTGAAGAGAGAAATCATGGAGGAAGTGCTGCAGTCTTCTAGTGGCTTGTCTGGCCTCCTTGTCCTGTGCGAGAGGGGCACAGGGTAAGAAACACAGTTCTCGGCCATCCCTTCCTCCAGATTGGTGTAACCGGGTGATACGACGGGGTAAGGTCGGTGGCAGCTGGGACAGATGCCAGCTGCATGCAGCTCAGCTGGTTTTAGAGCCGGGGATGTGATAAATCTGAGGCTGAACCTTGCTGGTTTTCCTTTTTACAGAGGAGGTCATGCTGGCAGAGGAAGACAAGAATGCAGAAGAGAAGTCTCCTCTGGACGGTAGGTCATTTTGCTGTGCGGTTTTCCTCCTGTGATACATGAGAGGTTCACCTGCTGTACGCTGACATGGCTTTCCGTTGTAACCAGGAGGGTGTGAGGAACACGCTCTGCATGCACTTGGCAGAAGTCGGGCTAAAGAGTCCCTTTTCCCATACCGGGTCTTTCTGAGGTTGCCGGTGGATGATGAGCAGTTATGTGACACACCGCTCTGGGATGGGGATCTGCCCTTGGGGTCGGTCGGTCCCGACGCTGCCTGTGGGACCGCAGCGTGACGGGGACGCTCGCCAGCCTCTGCCGAGCATGGCTGGCTGTGTCTACGTGCAGGTCGTGGCGGGGGTAGGCTGCAGAGCGGATGCCAGGAGAGAAATGGATTGACCGAGAGAAGGCAGGGCTCTAAACCGAGGTTTCCAAACGGATTTGACAAAGAGACTAAGACCCCTGTTACTTGTAAGCAGTAAGACATAACAGGGTGTGGTGATCCTATCTTCCGACGTGTGACCCTAGCGCTGCAGGACGGCTGGAGGTACCGAGCTTCAGACGCAGCGAGGCTGCGGGGACCGCTCTCCCCGTGCCTCCAGACCCATGAGCTCTTAGGATGCGACAGCCAGTCAAAGTTCAGTTAAAAGATTCTTCCCTCTCCCTTTTCTGACCATCTTTCGTCCTCCCATGTCTCGTCCTTTCCCCTCCCCTCCCTTTCCTTCCTCTTTTTTTTTCTCCTCCCATTCACTGTCAGGGAGGGCCGCCTCGGAAGGGCCGATTCAACAAGGCACGGCACCGGCAGAGACTAGTCCCGGCAGAGCCCAGCAGCGGCAGCAGCTACAACAGTGAGTGGATTGCAAATCACCAGGGGCTTAGGCGGCACAGCGGGGCAGTGCTTCTCCCCCGCGGCCCCCCGGGCCCAGGTCACCGGCCGTCTTTCCCCGGCTGGTTTTGGCACCTCATTCCGAGCCGGCTGGCTCCTTGGGCCACCTGGGCCAGCCCGGTGACCTGCGCTCGGGGAGGACGCGGGGCTGGAAGAGCTGGGGCTGCAGAAGGTCAGGGTTGAGGTGCGCTTGGTCGATCTCTGTGCGTGTGTGTGGGGATGTGTGCGCTGGGGAAGTCTGTCCGGCACGTGGGTGCAGCCAGGGCTGTCGGTCTGGAGCTGAAATGAGTGTCTGGAAGAGCAGCCTGAAAAGCCGAGTGGTGTAAGCAAAGTAGAGGTGGGTACAGGCCATGGAGTAAAGACCCAGGTGTACTACGGCTCCCTCTGTACCAGTAAGCTAAAAGAGCCCGGCAGTGTTCCCAGCCTTGAAGCCAACTGGGATGGAGCAGCCCACATCTACGCTGGTAAATTATCTTAGTCTCCAAAACAGAGGGACGTTGCATCCCAGGTGCCTGTAGAGCCGGCACGACCTGATTGCTAAACGCACGCAGGAGTTATTTGGGGGTGAAGATAAAAAAGCAGGTGCTCAATTCATGCCAGGGAGCGGTGTAAAACTTTCCTCCCAGCACTGGTTATGTTCCAGTGTTGGGAATGGCCCTGGACATGCTGGAGTGTGCTGGGACAGATGCAGCCTGAAGGACCCAAAAGCTGGTATTGCTGTGACTGAGGATTCAGCCTACTGCTGGGTGGGGAGGAAAAGAGCAAAAGCAGTTATTTGCACACCCCCCCCCAAAAAAAAAAATAAAATTGGTTTCAGATCACAGGTTCAGAGCACCCTCTCCTCTTCGAGCCTCTCCCAACCTGGGTGATGTTCTGGGCCTTTCCTTGGAGTGACAAAAGCACTACCGCTTGCCTTAGCTGCGGAGGAAGAAGCGCATCCGTCTCTCTGTCAAGGCAGGGAAATCGGCGTAGCGTGAGGGGATCCCCTCGTCCCACCCTCCCCCCGGGCGGCCGCGGCAGAGTGAGTGGGTTTGCTGTGTGTGCCTACTGAACAGTATGTATCACCACACCGTGGGGTGTCTTACTGCTGATAGAAAATGGTGCTTAGCTGACTGTGTGTCTTGAAGCTGTTACAAAACTGTATCAACGTATTTTTTTCTGCCAGTTCTCGAGGTTTTGCAGGTAGGTGGTCATGGGACCAGGGTCCGCGCTGTTCCTGCCTTACCCCTCGCTCACTGGGTCAGCAGCGCAGACCGCTCCGAGCCTTAGGCGGCAGTTCTCTTTCCCCGGCGAGTAGAAGGGTGTAGCGATGTTTGCCCCCTCCCTGCAAGGATGCCGTCGGACAAAGTGTGTTTTCAAAGAGCTATGACATCCCCAGAGGGAAGGAATTGCACAGCGGGTGCTGTTAAGAGCGCCTTCGCTGATTTGCGGCCATTGCCTTCGACGTAGCGTTTCTGCTCCTTAAGGCGTTGCTCTGTATCCGAGCGCCGTCAATGCTAACTCCTTAATGGTGCGCGCTGTAAACAGCATTAACGTTTTTAATGGATAGAAGCACTCATCTCATAACCCGCTTGGGGCTCAGAAAGACTCAGTGACCCTGCCCGGCCTTTCTGCTGTGCCAAAAGGTCCCCAGTGACTCCCCACCCTCCCGCCTCTGCGGTGAAGGGTAAGCGTGCAGCCCCGTGCCTGGCAAACCTTCACGGTCTTAGAAGGATAAATAGGTAAACGGCCCCGGCATCAAAGCACGCGGAGGCCCTGTGAGGTTGTAGGTGGTCTGGTTTGCTCCAGCTTACCCTTGTGCGAGGGCTTTAAGCTGGCGTCGGGAGGTGAATGCTGGCCCTGGAGAGCGAAGGGAGGGGGAGAGGGAATCCACTCTTGAATGCTCACGGGGCGTTTTCTCTTTAATTTGCATACAGTGTTGAAAAGAGCTGCAATAAAGAAGAGCAAAAACGACTTGATTCATGCTGAAGAAGGTGAGGACCATTTCACAGACATTTGCTCCGTTGGTGAGTACTGGCTTCGCATTCCCCGAGGTTTAGCTCTCCACCTAAACGCGTCCGTGTTGTGTTTCCTCCGAGCGGCTCCTTTGCTCCAGGAGCTGTGGGTTCGAGAAGGAGAATTATCACGGCTCCCGCAGCAGCGCTCAATTTACCAAAGCAAACGGCTCCGTGGCTTCCCCTGCCGCTTCACCCGCGCTGCCCGGCACAGCCGTTGCATGCTGCACCCCCCGACAGCACCCCCACGCGCTTGGAGAACCCCCGCTGTGGTGGCCATACTGTGATCCTGCTTGGAACATGCTCATTGATGCTAATGAAGCCCAAGTAATGCCAAATGACGCTGCTAAGCCTCATCTGTTGCGGGGAGGAGAGGAAGTGGACACTTAGTCACACCTGCCACAGCGTAGAGATTTGCGGCCTTTGCCCGGTGAATGGTCAGCGGGAAGTGCTGGGCAGCGGCTCCGATTCTCTCGTTCTTGCCTTAGAAGAAGGTCTTACAGCAGTTCTCCACCTTTTTAAAGCCAGACATGGAGACACGCAGCCGTGTGCATGCAGGGGCCCCCACGCCTCCACTGCGGAGCGCAGCATCCTTCGCAGCGCAGCGCGTTTGGTGCCTTCAGCTCTGGAGAATGAGCCGCTGTGAGGCCCCGGAGGCGCTGCGTGTTCGGCCGTTAGCGGAGAGCGCGTTCTCTCCCAAGCGGCCGCCCGGTGGGGAGGCAGGAGGCAGGTCCCGGGGTTTGCAGGGGGAGGTGGGCTCTGGGCACACGGCATCCCCATCCCGGCTAAGGGGAGCTCTATGGACACCAGCGGAGAGCCCTTGCAGTCATGGGCTTTTACGTGCTGCCTGGGGAAGACATCTTCCCGGCTGCTTAGGAGTTAGCTCATTCCTGTCCCTGTTGTTTGAGTCTGTATTTCGTTTTGCTGCTGAAGCAGCAGATGTTCTCATTATCTTCCAAAGAAACGTCTTGGCACCCCGGTTACCACAAAGCAGCAAATCCTGGAGGCAGGAGAGTAGCAGCACAAACAGCGCATTTGAGAGTACGGGGCCGTGTACGCTTGCAAGCATGAGTGCCTCAAATGCTCTTTGGAAATTTGGCATTAACGTTTTAAGAGATTACAGCTGCTGCCGAGTTCTTTTGATTCCCTTTAAATGAAGACCTGGTTGAGGGAAATGAATGTTTCTTGGCACGTTACTGACACCATCGCCCACTGTTGAACCGCCGCCGTCCCCCAGGCTGAGCAGGCTGCAGGTTTTGGGGCTGAACTGCTGACACTTCTGGGAGAGCTTTGTTGCTGAAAGAGGGCAAAAATGCAGCAACCGTGCGCATTTTTGTTTGGTTTTATTCTTGGCAGCTCGGATTCCTGCATGGAGAACGAGGAACGGTCATTTTTGGAACATTTGTTCATGGCTGCTATAATTATGAGGTCTTTGCGTTCACATCCAAGTCCCTCCAGGCTCTGGGCAGCCATACCACGCAAACAGATCTTTGAATTCAGCATTTCAGGTGGCAACGGATGACGGAGCATCTGGACTCATGGATAATCTGATGCAGAGCTGGGAACTGTCTCGGGAGCATATGGCAGGGAAAATAACAGCAGTGCTTTCCACCTTCTGCGAGTGGTTCACCCACTTGGGAAAAGTGTTTTTGATTTTGCTTCATGGAACAAGGCAGAAAGGAAGGAATGGATAACGCAGATACTTCTGCAGGCTCCTGAAAAGGCTGAAACTCTGCATAACGTAAACAATCAGATCATATGGGCAATTATGCATAAAGAATATGTTTTTCAGAAAAGGTTTTTTTGGATGGTTTCCTATGATGTCTGTGCTGATGGGAGCATAAGCACTGTGGAAGAACTAACAATATAATTACTGAGTGCAACGTGAAGATGCAGACCAGAGTGGTGGAGACTGACGGGTCTCTCGCTGGCCGTTGACTGAATGTGTTGCACTTTAATTCAAACACAAGTACCTCAACGAGCCTTGTAATTGCATTATAAAGCTCTATAGTGGTAAACGCTTCCCAGTGTGTTCTCTGGAGTTGTTCTTAACTTTTTTTCTTTACTTTTCTCCTACCTCTCAGCCTTTCTTTCTGCACTAATAAGCGTGCAGCATGATAAGATGCTGGCTCCTTCTGGTTTCCCACCCTCCACGCTGTACCAGACACAGGACGCTGTCTTGATTGCCAGACAGAGAAGTCTGGAGAAGTGGATATTTTCTACATTTAGATCAGTTTAAGTACCGCTGCTTTTCCTTTCTGAAAGATCAGTAGAGAGGGGACAAAAGGGCAGCAGACTATTCCCATGCAAATCTGAGAGTGTAGACTGGCTTGAATGTCTGCGAGGTCGTAATCTGCTAAACAGTATTACGACACGGTGCAGCCTATATCTTAACCTGTAGTTCATTTTGTCATCTTGAAGCAGTAGATGACCACTATGATTTTTTTTTTTTTTTTTTTTAAACTGCCAAAGGGATGATTATCAAACTAACAGAATCCACAGGCTGAGTTTTTCCACAAGGAGTTTTTCCAAAGCCTGGCCGGGGCCAGCTCTGCATTTGGCGTGTTGGTGGATGGCCAGAAACGTGAAACGAAGCAGCGAGTTTGCCTTTCTATGGGGGAGACGGCGCAGCACGCTCTTGTGTAGCTGCGAGGCATGGAGAACCCACTGCTGTCACATCTGGCTGCTTCATCCTTTCTGTGGGGTGCTGCGTTTGATTTTATTGGAGGATGAAACCGGGTGAGATTCCCACCCCTTCCAAGTGTTGAAATGTAAGCGAGCGCCCTCCAAAATTTGGCTGCCGCAGCCAGAACACTTTGTTCATGTAACTCAGCCACTTCCAACGACCACCCGTGCAAGTCACCTGCTCTCACGGTGCTTGGTCCAAGAGAGGACGGTGTGTGTCCTGCTCAGCCCTCCCCGCTGGGAGGCTCCGTCCCACCACGGGGAAGGGCAATAACACATTCCCTTGCCACAAACCATCCTGAAATAAGGTTCCCTAGCCATTTCCGAGGGGTGCCAGCACAGCGTGAAACAGGTAGCGGACAGCCTGCGGCAATCACGATTTGCCCTGCTTGCAACAGCGACGGATGCGTGTGTTTATTACTAACGTGTGCTGATTTCTCCTGCCTCAGCACTGGCCGGAGTTGGCCTTTTCATCTGTTTGAACAGTGCCTGCTACCACAGGGGGAGAGCTTACATCAGAAATAATTTCTTCCGTCAGCTTCCTATTGTTAAAACATTTGACTCTTTTCCAGGGTTTCAGACCAGAGTGGAAATGCAGCTGATATAGGCAGAATTGATACAAATGGAGTAGCTGCGCCCAAAATATGATGCGTGGAGGCAGATTGAGCCCTCTGCTGTAGAAATACATGAAGTCAGAGAGTAAAATAAGGAGGGCTTGTAAGGGCTGGGTCCTTGGAGCAGGGGAAATAGGGACCGGCTTGCCTGTTGCCAGCTACCCAGCTCCAAGAGGATGCGCTCCACACCACGGGCAGAAATACCACTGTGCCTGGTACTTGCTGTCCCTCCAGTCAACCGGGAACCCCAAAGTTATGAGTTAAACTGGGACAATCGAGATTGCTTCAAAGGGTTGGAAGCCCAGTTTCTTTAGATGGTGGAGCGGGCCATTCATTCCTGAAGTTTTAAAATCCCAGCCTTCATCCCTCACGATGTCATTGCAAGCGAGATGCCCTTGCTCAACCCATGGTCAGTGTGCCCAGCTTTCTGCTCAGCCGTGTTTCTGGTGCTTGGCAGAGGGTCTGTGTGCCCAGGAATGTCCTCCAGCCTTTCGCCTGCTGGGATGTGGTGTGGTGACTCTTCTTTCTGTCCCAGGGTCTCCTTTTGCCCGTGCCAGTTTGAAGAGTGGGAAGAACGAGAGCTCATCCTACTTCAGGAGGAAAGAGAAAATGTTCCGGTTCTTCATTCGGCGCATGGTGAAAGCTCAGAGCTTCTACTGGATCGTCCTCTGCGTGGTGGCCCTCAACACGCTCTGCGTCGCGATGGTGCACTATGACCAGCCGGAGAAGCTCACCACCGCGCTGTGTGAGTACTGGAGACTCCACCTTTCCTCTGAGCAGGTCTTGCATTTTTGATCATCCTGAGCACTGCTATCACATCCCCATGAGGTCTGGTTTTTGGCTTCCTATGCCTCCTTCAGAGGAGGGTCAGAAGTGCATTAATGAGTGGTTCTAGTAACTCAAGAGTAATTGAGTCACACAAATCAGAAAAAAAACCACCAGGCGTGATATTGATTTGAGATGGGAATGTTATCCTAAATGTTAGCTGAAACTTCAGATTCAGCCACATTTAAATCTTGTAACATGGCAGGAGGGTTTGTTCTGCAGCAGGCTTTATGAAAGGAGGGGGAATGGCTCCGTACTTCAGTAAAGGCAGGTCTCTGTCTTATCAGTGTCCGCACAGAGAAGTGCAGAATTCATGCGGCTTTGCACCTGATGTGCATCCGTGGGTGATTCTGTGTGGACATACTTAAAGCTGTGCCAGCTCTGGTGTCCCTGGGATGGCAGCACAGGCAATGGCCGGTGCTACCTGGGAGATAAAAATGTCTATCTGTGCTCATCCCATACACTAATTCACTACAATTGTAGCAATTATTGTCATTCATTAAAAGCTTGCAACTTTACAGAAGGTCTTTTTGGATAATCGTGCCTTCCTTACTAACGGTATGTGATTAGGTGGGATTGATGTCATGATGTGCTTCTGTGAAAATATAGGGATGGAAATAATACCATACAGAAGATTATACTATATTTGTGCAAAAGCTTTTATTTTAGCTTGGTTCCTGTGGCCGCCTATCAGTTTAGGCTTCAGATAGTCTATAAGTGCTTTTGAAGTATGCTTCTTTTTTTTTTTTTTAAATTGCATATTGTTGTGTCCTATGATGAATAATAAATGGAGGCAGCTTTCTTCAGTCGGAGCCTTTACACATCACAGTGTTACACTGAGGTCGCAGACTCGCTCGCCAAGCCTGTTGTAAACAGAAATGTGGAAGGTGAAGGACAGAGCTTTTTTCTTTGTTTTAATGCAGGTTGCAGGCTGGAAAACTTGTAGAAATTGGTAAGGTGAGAATATGGGGACACTGCAATTTTTCCTTCTGAAGGGACAGGATGGGGGGTTTGTTTCTGGAAGACTGAGCCATTGCATTGGCCACTTCTGACTCTACAAAATGGTCAGCACTTGATACTCAGGTGTGGCTAGTTCAGAATTTGTGAAGTAAAACTTCTGAAGCAAGTGAACAGAAGACGAGGAAAAAAACCCCAAATATTTCAAACAGTCTAACTTAATAATTTTGGCTTAGACCATTAAAGATACTTATCTGCCTAATTTTCCTTGATTTCTATATAAATTAGATACTTAAATATTTCTAGCCCCAGATCCTCAGGTCTTACCTTATTATAAGGAAGCAAACTTTTGAAGTGTTTTTCTATAGACTTAAAAGGTCAAGAATACTAGGCGCTCCAACTTCAAAAAACTCCCTATTAATGTTTGCTGAAATATTTAATACGACCAGGTAACTGGAGCTATAATGAGAGATGCATAAGAAGGATAGAAAATTCTTTCAACTCTGGGTTTGGCGTTTTGTTGGGTTTTTATGCAAGATTTAGACTGAAAAGTGAGACAGACTACACAGAGAAGTCAGTCTTGCTTATTCATTTCCTAAATTTAACAGAGGAAGCAATAAGCTAGATTGGCAGGGTAATTAGAAGTTTGAGGCTTAGGATTTCCTCTTGAATTAGGACTAAATGTCTAGAAAAAACCACTAAGTCTTTCAAGTCAAAAAAGAAGGCTTCAGATTTACGAACTCAGTTTCAGGAACACCTTGTGCAGTAACTTTTCTAAGAGAACATGAAGAAATCCGTGAGCCAGCAACTTCTACTTAATGTTCATATGAGAGCTGGAGGGGATGTTTCTCTTGATTGGAATTAAAGGTACACCTCCAGGTGGGAAACATATCTGGGACAGAGACCACAAATTAGGCTCCAAACCTGCATTAGCTGAAGATAAAAAATAGGGAAGGTTGCAATTGTGCGTTGTGCCTGGGATCAGGGATTGGGGTGGGTCTTTCTTTCAGGAGCTCTGCGTGCGTCCGTAACGCCCAGTATTGTGAATTTGTTTCAGAAACACTTGGGTAGCATACTTTAATTTCTTGGTGCTACGGTACCATCTAGTTAAGAACGAGTGGTGCCATTGATTTATTTTTAATGGAAAAGTCAGGAAAACATCAAAGAACCGTATGTTCTTGGGAGTTAAATCCTCAGCATCCTCCCAGCTGTAGGTGCTTTCCTTTGTCTTGTCTGCCCTTTATATGTCTTTGCATCATTGCACTGCCATTTACTTGTAAGACTTGAGTGTCCTTTGTCAATAAGGAAACACCTGGGGAGGTGTTTCACAAATTAATCCCTTAGATTCACTAAAAGAAATACTAGTGGCTACAGACAAACACTGCTAGAAACAACACTGTAGTTGGTGAGGGGCAACACCCAGGTGGGTCACGGAGAAAACCCGAATATCTAAGGAATCATAGGTTTTGTGGATGTTCTTGTATAGGTAAAGCATTGCGTCTTTTAACAGAGTGGTGCAAGATTAGCCACCATGATGCAGAGAATAAAAGCCAGCGATGCAGAATGAATGGTTGTCATGGAAAGATAATTTTCTCTTGGCGATTTTTTTATTTTTTTTCCAAAGATATTTTTCTCCAAGAGAAGAATCAGAGGTGCTGTGGGCTCTTTCTGGGAAGGATTGTCTCTGGTCTGTCTTACGGCATTGGGTAATGGAAACTGTGGGAAGAAACCTCTTTTAACATAATTTTAGAACAAAGTGATTCTGAGAATTGTCCACTGAAAAGGCTTACGAGTTCAACCTCTCAAATTACGTCCAAACCCTCCCAAATTTTCAGGAAGATGAGCTGATAGTATTGTATTCGCACCTGTCCTTGCATTGGTAATGACCTAAAGGCTTCTGCACGCTTTCCTGGGGTACGGTATAGTTTTTATAGTGTAATCTTTCCTCCTAATCTGAAGTTTAGCATTGAATGCGGGGAATATTTTATGGCTTAAGGTATGTGGGACTTTGTGCGGACTAACCGGTTGTTTTGTTATTGCAATCATGGTAAGACTGGACTCGGTCCCTCTGACTCCTGCAAGCCCTAAGCCCCAGCCAGCCCGGCCAACCCCGCCGTAACCACACCGGCGAGCGAGCCCAGCTGTGGGGTAGCCCTCAAGGGGTCCTCCTTGAAAGCCCCGTTCTGCCCAAGATTTGTGCACAAATCCATTAGATACGGGCAGAACACGATATCACAAACCCAGGGGATTTTAAACAGCTCCTGGAAATACTTGGGAAAATCCTTTAACTGTAAGAGTGACGGAGTTTAAAAATGGCTTTAGAGTTAATCCATGATGAGTGAACGGTGCTACAGAGGAGCAGGACTTGGCTAGTCTGATGTATAAGCGAGAGAGAAGTAGCCAATTCTAATTATGTTGTTTCATGGAAGGTGCTTGGAAATGAACTGAGGAGGAGTTTTGTGAAGTGCAGCAGTGGGAGAGGAGCGCAGTAAAGTCTGGGAGGATCCGCTAAACCCTGCAACTCTACCCAGGCACCTCTGATTCAATTATACCTGTCCCTCCAGGGAAAAGTTTAATTACGTTACAAATTAATTTTACTTAAAGAACAGTTGGTAAAAGCCTACGGGTCTGCATTGATTTATTTTTCCCTTGGTCTTTTCTTTTAACTTTTCTGTTCTCGAATTGTTCTGATTAGCTTTCTCTGCTTGATATTACATATTCCTGCAACTGCTTTGGAAAAGGAACTGCGGGAGCTTTAGAAAGGGGCTTGGGATTACTTTAGTCTTATTGAAAGAGCTGATGAGAAATTCTTTGAATTCTTGGGGTATGGTGAATAACTGGACATACTTTATGCCCCTGTAATTATCCCCAAATTAGATCAGATATTTTCCTTCTCTGTATGGAAGGGACTCCAGGGCCAAATTGCAATAGGAGTTTTCTCATATCGCACACGGACACATGACCTGTTTTGCTGAAGCACGGACCTTCTCTTTAAAAAGTTGCAGTTCCCTATAAATGGATGCATTTCATGCAGCCACTAATGATTGTCGTCTATTTGCATTAATTTCCACCGTCGCCAGTATCCTCAGAAGGAGTCTGCTGTCAGAAGACAGCACTGTAATCCAGCCCAGGAAAGCATCGCTGGGGTCTAGCAGCGGCAAAGATGTGTCTTCAACTGAGCGCACCAAACCAACAAAGTCCCTGCTGCGGGCACGCGGTGGAGGTGCGACGTTAAGGGGGGGGGTTGGTCAGGGCTGTGCCTTTTTAAAATACACGCTGTAGTTTGAGCAGCAGTTGCGAGTCTGACGTGGAAACAGCTGAACGGATTTGCGTGCCCTGTGCCGGGCGGGAGACCAGCAGAGACGGCGCTGGTGGTGGTCTCCTCTTCCTCTGGCTGAAGCTGTGGAAGAAGGCTGGAACCAGAGGTCTCTGGCCCCCACGGGCTGGGCTTTGGGGACCATGAGGAGAAGGTTTTAGGATGGGATCAGTAAGGTTTCACTTGGGAGCCCTCTCATCAGACCTCCCTTCCTCTCCTTCACAAAGCAGCACTCTCCATGTTTCTCCAGCTAACACTACAGTGATCCTTCACTTGCTCCTAAATTTATATCTGTATAAAAACAAGATCCAGAATGTCTCCTTTCTGATAAATACAATATTTGAAAACAGTATTTGAGCCATTATGGCCTGAGAATATCTTCCCTGTGTGCCTCGCAATGCTGAACTGTGTGTTTGGTGCAATTAGGCCATTGTTGGTGGTGTTGTGTTTGCCTTTGAAGTAGATAGCCAGCTCGCTCCGGATGTGAATAAGCAGCACTTGCAATCGCGAGGAAGAGGCTTTCTGAAGCGAGCATATTTGTTTATGTCTGCTGAACATTTCACGTCTGCTTGGACAAAGAGGAGGACGTTGTACTTTGCCGAGGTTCTCCTCCTGGCTGGGTTAATGTGCGAGGAGGATGAGGAGAGGAAACCAAAGCATCAGACTCGGCATCAGCTCCTAATGACACTGGACTTGGAGACGGGGCAGAAATGGCATTAATCCATGAGTGATGGACAAAAAAGAGCCGCTGGCTATCTAATTCATGGGGCAAAAAGAGGCTGGCATGGCCTTTGCCAATAGCACAAATTTGAAATTAAATAAGAGTATTTGTATCAAACCTTTTTCCTTAAATCACATTACAAAATGCTTCTGCTTAAGGCAGATTAAATTACACGTGGGGTTTGAATACCAGGAGGTCCAAACAACGAAACTGCATTTACAATTATATGGGCAGGGTCATGTCAGAAGAAATAGTGTTTCTGATCTGTCCGCTGGAGAAGCCGATTCTTTTCGATTCAGTTCCTTCTGCCTAAGGAGTTCACTGTGTCTGCATTTTCCTTGCCCCCATCCCTTGTCCTCACAGTGCTGTGATTTATAGCATCTGGTACGTGCTGAAATGTAGCTGTTGCTGCTGGTTTGAACTCTGATCTGGATAGAAGTCATCAGCTATGAAAGGCCAAGTTGTGTGGTTCTTTCGGGAGTAGCAGAAGGATGCTGTTTCTTGGATGTTGTGAATTTCTAACGTTTCCTGGGTTGTTTGGTGGTTTGTTTGTTTGGTTTTTAATAAAATATTTATTGATTCTTTTTTCCTTAGGGCATATTCTAGCTTTTTGTTTTCTCCTATGATATTCTGGTTTTGCACGTGTGCTTGCAGGATGGGTCAGTCCGATGATGGAACATTGCACTTGTTGATACCTGGTTTTTATTCGTGCTTCTGCTGGATGGGTGTCTGAACTTTAATCCTGCTTTCTTTTCTCCTTTTTCTTCTTTTGAAATGGTGGTAATTGTCTCGGCAAAGTGCGCCGAGATCTGTTGGTGAAAATTATGGTAAAACCCGCCTCCCGAGTATTGTTATTCTGTGAAAGAGCATGGGGTGTACTTGCAGTGTAACTCTAAAGGTGAGCCTGGTGGGTAGATAAGAGGATGAGCATCTCCCTGCCGGAGTGAGGTATGAAGCAGGTGGAGGCTGTGCGATGCTTTCTATAGGTCTGATCTACAACCCCTTCCTATGATTTTCAGTTTGGTCTGCTAACTAAGCAAGGCCACCAGTTTCAAAGCTTTGGTTTGGTATCAATCCTTGTGATAGGGAGACTTGAAGTCATTCCAATAAGTGCCGTGGGGTTGCTGAGCTCTGCTGGAACCGAAGATGGGAGTGATAACTCCCCAGCAAGGGAGAGGCTCTTGTCAGCACAAACCCTGTGCAACCTTTCCCTCTGGGCTAATGACTGAAGTAGGTGATGACAGCAGCAGTGCGAATTCTTCCACACCCAGAGAAGATGCATCTGCTTTAGTGGGGGAGTTTTGTCTTCTGTTTCTTACAATTAATGGCTTCAAACTGGAAGAGGGGAGATTTAGATGAGATATTAGGAAGAAATGTTTCCCTGTGAGGGCGGTGAGCCCCTGGGGCAGGTTGCCCCGAGAAGCTGTGGCTGCCCCATCCCTGGAGGTGTTCAAGGCCAGGTTGGACGGGGCTTGGAGCAACCTGGGCTGGGGGGAGGTGTCCCTGCCCAGGGCAGGGGGTGGCACTGGACGGTCTTTAAGGGCCCTTCCAACCCAAACCATTCTGTGATTTCCAAAGTACATAGGGTGCAGAATGGAAGGTCAAGATCTGGCCTGGAAGCTAATTTAAGTTTCTGATTTACAGGGTCAGCTATTAATAATTAATAATTTTAAAATTCTTACAACTTCACAATTGAGATCTTTTTAATTATATGCAAGGAAATTCAATACCACCAAACACTTTTTTTTTTTTTAAATCTATATTTTTATGTTATTGGACTTGTCAGCCATCTCATTTCATGCCTGACGTTGGTTCATCTGGTCCCGTTCTCGCACCCTCTGCACTGGTGTAGTCAGGTGGACTGCCAGCGTAACTCTGGATAACTCCCTACGCCAGCAGCCCTTGTGCTGGAAACAACTGTTTGCTCACTGAGCTGTTGCGTCCGATGACAGAAAAGAGAGAAAAGTTGTAGCGTGGTGCAGGTGTGAACATGCTTCTCTGAGGTGTGCTGCTCCTTCGCGTGACCGTACCTTCCCCTGAGCACTGAGGTCCAGCAGACAGAACCTACCTCTCAGTGGGGAAAAGGCTGAGAAGTCTGCAGACCTCATACTTTGTCATCTTATTTTCCTCAAATGTGAACACTTTGCCCTTGATAGTCTCCTTTAATGATATTGCTCCTATTTTCAAGGAGAGTAGGGCACATGGTATAATGAATACCACCCTGGGATTTCCTCTCCTATTGCAAATGTTGGCAGAAGTGTCCTTGTGGGCTCCTCACTGAAGTGTTAATAAAACCTTTCTCATTTAGTTAATGCTTCCTGGATTTCAGTTAACTTTACACCTATGATATTTCATGACTGTCTTTCATTTAAAATTTAAAACTTTTTTTTAATTTTTTTTATTTTTTGGTAATCGAAGCTGTAGTTTCCAAGCCGTTTCAAAAGACAAGCAGCAGTGCGAGATGGACCTGGGCCAACTGCCCTCACGTGATGTGAAGGTGCGAGGCAGTGGATGAAGGGAAAGGACCCTTGGTCCTTCCTCTCTCTCTCTCCCCACGCTGGTTAGCTGGAGCCACAGACTGCAGGAGGCGTACAAAGCACCTGGGAGTCAGGATTATCCAGCTGAAATTTTCCTTGTTGCTACTCGTATCTGTTGCCCCTTGTCTGTCCGTGTGCACCTTTGAGAAAAGTTGGGCACCGGCCTGTCTTTATCGCTCCCGGAATCGTAGAACTGAGATTAGAGAAGACGACTTTCCCGTAGCATTTGAGCTGCTACAGCATCCGAGAACCTTCTGTACGGCACTAAGCAATGTGGTTAATCTCCACCTTTTGAAGTTTGATTCTTTTCCTCATCTTTTCTCTAGTGGAAGAGGTTTGCCTTATGCTATTTGGTTTGTTTTGGTAGTGTAGAAGGTTTTTTTGCCCTTTTTGTGTTTGTTTTTAACATTCCATTGTTTCTGCTGCTTATTGGCCTCCAGACCCAAACTTCCATGACTTAAAATGCCAAAGGCAATGTTTTTTCTCGCTTCAAGTCTTAAAAACTTGATCTGGAAATTGAAATCTCGAGCTATGTTCTTTCTGCCCTTTGTTTCATCGTACGTGATAAATTTTCCCATCAAAAGCTTCACAGCCTATTTGCCTGCGATATGTGAAGCAGAAGGAACCAGAACTTGCCCTTCCATAATTATATGGTTATACAGGCATAACAAAAATAAACGTGGTTATGTGCTAACAGTAGACACAACACCTCTGAATACGAGCTCTCGGAGGCAGCAGTTCTGTTGGGTATAAAGGTATTTTTATCATAAGAGGATCTTTCAAAAGTTTACACCCCACTCTCAAAAGCGCCTATCTCACGTGGGTATGGAAATCCCAAACACACATTTGAAAAACATTACCTGTGCAATTAAGTTAGACCTTTAGAAATACTGGATCCAGAGCTTTCTTTTGAAATGCCTTTACAAAGGCGATGAGAATATTATTTAATGCTCATAGCAACCTTCCCACAGTACACATGAAAGACTGGTTTCACAGTTCTTGAAGGCTGAATACAGCTCATGTGCATATAGAAATAATTATGTGAAACTCTCCTCGGAGTCTTGTTTGCCATTGCAAGGGGGTTTTCTTCTGGCAGGCAGCAGTCTGTGTTATGAAAAATTAGCATTGTTCCCCACATGAAGAGATCTGCCGGCCAAGGTCTTGTGGACTAATTTAATCTCTTTTCCTGTTTCCAGATTTCGCAGAGTTTGTTTTTCTGGGTCTGTTCCTTACTGAGATGTCTTTGAAGATGTATGGACTGGGGCCAAGAAACTACTTCCACTCTTCGTTCAACTGCTTTGACTTTGGGGTGAGTGGCCTTCACCAGCGTGGATGGGTTGGGCGTCTAAGGGTGAGGATGGCAGTCCATGGGAAACGGTGCTGTAAGCGTGTCTCCTGCGGGGAGCAGTCGTCGTACAAATTAGCTGCAGTGAAACCCATTAAGCTTCCCCTAGTTATCGTCCTTTTGGAAGAAACGTGACAGCTGGGGATTTCATTTCCTCGGCGAGCTACAGGGCTCGCAGCATCAGCACCAGTCAGTGCTCTGATTACTGAGAGATTCTCGTTCCCCTTTAAATGAGGTGATTGAAAGAAAAAAACCCCACACATCTCATTGCTCATCTCCCCATCATCCATTTAATGGCATTTACCGAAAGATACACAGGCAGCACTTTTCAGACAGTGCCCAGAGCAGAAGTCTAAACATGTGGTTAGGTGACACAAAGGTACTAACTCCCATCCCTTTAGTGCAGAAGTACAGGCTCTCCCCTTCCTGCTAAAACTACAGCTTTGAAGAGTGAATAGTGGGGCCGCTTTTGGCCATCTAACAAAGAACGTTGCATGCAGATGTTAATTTATTCATTAAAAGCCATTAGGCTGTAATCTGTCCTCACAGAGGTTAACTGGGTTTCTCTTACCTCTGGTGTGGGCTGAGCACTGCATCCCAGAGCGGGAATCCCTCTGTGGAGCTTCTTTAACAAACCAGGTATGAAGTTTATGGTGCAGCCACGGGCAAGGGGAAACCAGTTCAGGTCGTGCATATCATCCAGCCCTTCTCGCCAAGGTTTAGTCTGTGGTTTCTAGTCTTTATCTGCCAAAATGCTGGGGGTGGTTCTTCTCCCCCGCGGAGCAAAATTCCCTGCTTCAGCTCTGCTCCTGCAAGGGAGGAGGAGGTATTCTTACCTTCCGTAAGGGACCACTCCTAAATCCAAGACTACGGGTTCAGGGCTAAATCGACTTTGAGATTAAGCCATCCAGCCCAAGAATCAGCTGCGTCCAACAGACCACGGTGTTGCATCGGGCTGCACCGAGTGTGGGGCTCTCCTTTTGGGGGTGTCTGTTGCGGCTGGTGGTGGCTCCCAGCACTGACGTGCCTTGTGCCGCTCTTTCTGGCTGCCTCACCCAAAGGATAACGCACAGACTCAAACTGTCGTGAGAGGAAACCAGAGCACAAATAACACAGATGATGTAAGATAACTAGATGTCCGCACATTCAGAGTTGGCGCCTAATCCAAGGGGCAGAGACAGTGCCCTCGGCTGAAGGTGGCCAACCCGTGGCAAGTCTTTACTGCAGTGGCGAGATGTCCTGCGAAGGCTGGAATGAAGAGTGTGCCCACAAATACACGGGGGCTGACACCCAGCTTTCTTTAAGTTCAGTGCATGCCCCAAGACCCCAGCTTCTGTAAGCTGAGTCAAAGACGCTTGGTGGCCAAGCACCGTTGCCCAGTTAGTCTTTTAAGGGTACCATTGCCCTCTTTGCATTGTCCAATGACGGGCACTAGACGGACGTCCTTCACCAATGGATTAGGTAGGCTCCCAGCTGCAGCCAGCTCGCCCCCATGCTGGCTGCCAGTTTCCCTGGATCCTTGTATCCAGGATGCTCCTTCCACACAACAAGAAAAGCTTGTACCCGATGGTCACGGGTAGCTGATTTAAGAGCTTGCGCTAAGCAAGAGCTAAACCTACCGGGTCTCGCTGCTTCACGTCACGCTATGGTGAGTGCAGCACTGGCAATAAGCTATAAGCTTTGCCGAGTGTTTCCCAGGAGGTAAAGCTGTTGATCTGCTTCTAATTCTTCCTCCTTTAGAGAATCCATAGGGATCCTACTTCTATCTATGTTTCTTCCCTCCTCACCCACCTTCCAGCCCCCAGAATTAATTCAGCTCCTTCACCCCCACTGGAACATCACACAGATCTGTAGTCAGTTTAGTTTGACAAACCATCAAGATGGAACTGTTCAAATGCGAAAAAGTGAAACAACAAATCAGAGCGACATCAGTCTTGGGAGAAACAGTCCAGTGGGGTCTCATGTGAAACAAGCTCCCAGGAGGCCACGCTGAGATGCCAGGAAAATTAATTATCAGTGTAACATGTGGAGGGTCTAAGGAAAGGTTTTTGCTGATTCATGAGGGGTTCCCAAGAGTGACAGACTGTAGGAGAGAAGTTTTAGTTCCTTCTTTTTCTGATGGGGGAAACTGGTTAAGCCACTGTATCTCCCTCTCTCCCGTTACATTTTCTTGAAGCTCAGGGTACACCATTTCTTGCAGAGCAGCTGCAAGCAATGCTGTAGTTTTCAAAAGACACAAAGACGTCCAGCTTTGTGTTTATGAGAGGGATTTCCAAGTCGAGTCTCCCGGCACCGCTCAGGTACCCAGACACCGCTCTGCCGGCCCTGACTTCCCATTAACACTCCCTCTTGCGGCACAAACCGTCTGCTCGCTGCGGGCAGCGAGCACGTGTTTATGGTGTGCTCCATGCAACTGGGGACCACGGTCCAGGGGAGCTCTGGAGTGCTGGGGTAACACGAGTAGTAACGGCAATCGGCAGCGAAATGCCTGTCTTCTCTTATTGACTGTGCGGTAACCGGTGTGGGTATAATTGCCCTTTCCAGTTGTGCTTAACCCATTACTATCTTGTCCTTTTTGTAATAAAGGATTTCAGAGAAGGTTTCTTTATCGCTTGAGGTTAATTCTCGGCCAACCTTAAAAAAAATCCAACCAAACAGACAAAACAAAACTTAAAAAAACCACCTTGATTGGAGGCAATTTTTTCAATAACCCGAGGCTGAGGCGCTGGCGGCTGGTTGGGGGTGTGTGTGTCTGCGCTTTGCAGCATCTCTTAATAGCTATCACCTTAATCGCTCTCCTAAAGACTCTCAGTCGCCAGAATTTTCTGGTAGATCTTGCCCAGAGTTAATGCTTCGCTGTTGTGCAGTGCGGGGGGTGAAGACTTTTGGTGCTTCTGATGGGAAGAGGGGGATGGGGCAGTGTCCCCCTGCCTCTCTACGGACCGACTGCGCGGGGTGGGAAAATGAAGTGTTGGCGTTTGCAGTTGAGCCAGTGTGAAAAAAGCAAACCAAAACCAGCCCAAAAAGGGACAGTGTCCTTCAAAAAAGGTTATATTAAGGTAGTTTGCCTGCTAAAGGAGAAAGTAACAAGTTCCTATCTGTGTGATCTCCTATGCGTCTGTCCCGATTCTAGATATTGCTCTTTTTTTACTGGTCTGCAGAAAGTTGGAACAAGGGTTTTCGGTGCTGTTGGCTGATTGATGATTTTGCTGAAGCCTTCGTAACACAGCCATCGCCGCCCAAGCTCTGATTCTTGTTCTGTCCTCAGCCTCTCTAAAATCACCGCAAAGAACTAAGCAGAAGTTTTGCCTTATGTAAAATGGACTGTTCTTGCAGGTCATCGTGGGAAGTATATTTGAAGTTATTTGGGCTGCAGTGAAACCGGGGACCTCATTCGGCATCAGCGTATTGAGAGCGCTTCGACTGCTGAGGATTTTCAAAGTAACAAAGTAAGTCCAGCTCCCTTTCGCTCACATTAGACTTTTAGCACCATATGAAATCTGTATCACTGGCCGCACAGCAACTAGAAGTGTTTTCCACCCTTATAAAAAAAAATAAGTAAGTTGTTATTTTTTTTTTTAAAAAAAGCAAAAACAACCCCCCAAGCCCCCTGTACTAGCTGGCACCAAAGGTGTTGTCTGTCCAGACATCCTATGTCTGCACTGGCCCTAATTGGGGACAGGAGTGGAAGGAAACTGCAGATGCAGAACTGCCCTTTCCTTGGCTGGGCAATCGGGGTTTGTGGAAGTTGTAAGTTTAGGGAGTTCCTGAGCCTGTGTTTGCATCCACAAGGACTTTTAACAGCCCTTTCCTCAGCCTCATGTACCCGTTTGTCTACCAGAGGGCAGAGGGCTCCACAGTGTAGCGATGGACTACGTGAGCGCATCCTTTTCTTTGTTTTTAAGCTTGTTTAAACCAAAAATCTCCTGAGGTGATCCCTTATTTCTTGTGGTAAGAGAAAAATTTTCTTATTTATTTTCTAAACCCCATCAACTGTCTGCTGTCCTTATCTACTGCCGATCAGGTCATAATTCCTTAAGTATTTAGGAACTGGAAAACTGAGCTACCCTGGTTATTGCTAGATACTAAATCCTGGTGCCTGAACCACCATGTTGACACAAATATGAAGTGTGTTGCTGTTGCCTGTGCTGGTCTGGGAATGTCTGAGGTTTTCCGTCTTGAGCCTGTGAAGTTGAATTTTGAGTAGAGTTGGGTCGCCACAGCTTTTTCATGCTCACACGTTGCGTTAATGTGTGCTGCCATCGGCAAACAGCCACTGTGCAATTTATACATCCATCTAGAGCACTTTCTGCAGGATTTCAAAATTGGGGTGTGGAAATTGATGACATATTTAGGTGCTCCTGCTGTTGTTTTCCTCCTCCCCTTTTTTTTTTAAACAGCACTTTACACCATTAACTCCTCAGATCTCCCCTCTTTCCATCACTCTCTTACTTGGTTTTGGCTTGAATTAACAAAAGGAGGAATAACACCTCCCTCCAAAAAAGCTCCAACAGCCTCAAATAGATAAAGCACAGGTTATCACGTTTGAGCAAAACAGTGATTTGAAGGGAGCAGATACTTTTGCAGCTGCTGAGGCGCGCGGGGTGTGTTAGCTCGGTAGGGTTTGCAGATTTCTGCCTGCGGATCATTACGTGGATCCAAAATCTGTGTGCGATCCTCTGTCGTTTGTTGTACTGTGGGGCAAAAGAGTTGGAAACATTAAATCCTGTAACTGTCCCACAAAATAGGTGGGCGCCTGTCCCTGAAATGTCACTGTAGCCTACCTTTGCGCTAAACTTATTTATGGAAAACTCCAGTTTTTGTAGAAAATTCATAGCAATTGTCAGCAGTTGACTTCATCCAGAGCTACTGAGATTTAGCCTGTCTGACTGCGTGTTGTACTTTTTAAAAATTTTGGATGTTTTTACAAGTTAAAACGATCCTTTTGTGAGTTTTGACTATTTGGGATTTTAACCAACGTAATAAAGAGATGAAGCCGGGGATGTAACTTAACAAAGCATCTCATGGGGTGAGCCGAGTGCTCTCCCCCTCCTCAGGACAGCAGATGAAATCCTCACCCCACTGCTGCTGCAGTTCCCTTCACCTCCTTCTGTGGGTTTTTCACCTGACGTGACAGAAGTGCGTTCGTTGCGTTAGCAGGAGCCAGGTGCCCCCCAGCTCGCTCGGGGGGGGGGTGTCTCAGTGGTGCTGGGCCACATCACCCCAGTGCCAGAGCTGCACGGCTCAGCATAACTCATGGAGAGCCACCAAAGTGATGGCACCGGGCGCAGATTGCTACTACTTCCCGCTCTCGTTACCATCTTAAGTGTGAAAACATCTTGACCGTCAGTAGTTCTATTTTTTCCCCCCTTTTTTAGTCTCTTTCATAACAGTTTTTCTCTGAAGCTCCCAGCCCTGGTGGTGTTTTTTGCCTCTGTGTTTAACCAAAGCCAGTTGTGGTCCACCTGCTTTGAATACCTTCTGATTCACGTGCCCCAAATCAGTGTGACTGCAGACAGCAGAGCGATGCAATGGTTAAAAAAGTTAAATTACAGCCAGCCTGAAAGGTGACAGTAGGATGCACTATGAAGTGATGCAGCTTAAGAGAGGCTGAAATTTAGTGAGGAGGATGAGGAGAAAACAGCTTCACATCTTTTCCTCTTTGTTGTGACTGCCCTGACTGGGGACTGGCATCTGTAGAAACGCAACTCCTCATTATGTCCTGGTGCTCTATGTTCAGGCAGGGTTTGGTGCTGAGCTATTCCAGGATGAACTTCCACATGTATTTTGTGTCCATTTGTGTTAACAATGAGGTGCAAACCCCTTCCTTGTGGCAGATTTTGCCTGAAGCCATTGTGTCAAGCAGGGGAGAGCTGTGTGGTCAGCAAATGCTTCCTCCTTCTCCAGGGAGAGAAGCTCAGTCCCTTTTCATAGAATCACAGAGAGGTTTGGGTTGGAAGGGATCTTAAAGACCATCCAGTCCACCCCCTGCCCTGGGCAGGGACACCTCCCACCAGCCCAGGTTGCTCCAAGCCCCGTCCAACCTGGCCTTGAACACCTCCAGGGATGGGGCAGCCACAGCTTCTCGGGGCAACCTGCCCCAGGGGATCACCGCCCTCACAGGGAAACATTTCTTCCTCATATCTCATCTAAATCTCCCGTCTTCCAGTTTGAAGCCATTCCCCCTCATCCTATCACTACAAGTCCTTGTAAAAAGTCCCTCTCCAGCTTTCTTGTAGGTGCTCTTCAGATACTGGAAGAGGGTCTAAGGTCTCCCTGGAGCCTTCTCTTCTCTTCTCCAGGCTGAACAAACCCAACTTTTGCTTAGGGGCTAACCCTGGATAGGTTTGGTTGCAGCTTTTTCAATTGAAGATATTCTCTCAAGAGACCAAAGTTTCCCCTGAAACCTCTGTCGCTGTATTATGGATGTAACTTTTCTTGGATTGGGTGGAGTGGGAATGCAAGATTCTGCTTCCGCTGGGATGGACGTGCCTGTATCATCCTCAGCACAGAGAAATGGTGGGGGGGGTTCCGTCCTCTCAGCTACACCTGGGGGAAGGAAGAGGAGGAAAATGAAGACAGAGAAGAGAAAGGATGGCCTTCTGGCTCAAGCTCTGAGCTTCTCTCCCCATCAGCAGATGAGACAAATCCATGGGCTTCCTTCTGCTGGGTACCCACAGCTGCACCGCAGGCAGGAGCTCCGTGCATGGGGCTGTCCCCGCAGCTGCAGCCGGAGGATGCTCAGGGCGGGATGGTAGGACACGCTGCTGCGGAGAGTCACATCCACATGGCAGCTCCCAGCGCTGGGCAGTGAAAACAAGAGAAGTCACTGGAGAAAAAGAGAGAAAAAATGTCCCTCCATGATCTCAGACTCAAAACTTTTAACAGAGGACACATGAAAAGCCTCTAAATCACTCGTTTCCTACCACCTGCTCCAGCCCCTTTGTTCCGCATGCCTGTCTGTCCAAAAGGAGATTGTCAAAGAGCTCCTCTGCTTAATAGCTCTTTCTGCATTTTCTGATTCGTTAGTTTTCCTAATATAAATGCTCCCTGCCTGTTCTCAGCAGGGCAATAAAGGCAGAAAAGAGAGCGGTGCCTCCCCGCGAGTGTGCCAGGAGCCGTCTCGGGGGACGGGGGAGATAGAAGCAAACTAACTTCAGCATCTGGCCAGATGCGACTTGGATGTGTCAGTCAGGATCTGGGCTGAGCCATTCCCTCTCTCCGTGTTGGAGTTAATGTCCCGGATTCATTTTCATCTTCCAAGGCAGTTGCACAGTCCTGGATGCTTAAACCATGGGGCTGAACTGCCCCACGCGGAAGGCATCGCTGTGCATGAATGTGTGTGTTAAATGTCTAAGGAAGTGTTTAAACATGTGGGAGTCTAAGCCCACCTGTGGTTACTGGCATTCGAGAAGTTGGAAGGACACACTGCAAAGCCGTCCTGGTGAAAATGAGCGGTTAATTCATGTCTTAGGGAGGGAGGGGTTCGCTGTCCCCACGTTCAGTCTCACCTTGGTGATATCGATACATCCCTGGTTTTGACACTCCTGCTGACTGCCATCCCGGATGAGAAGATGCAGTGAGGTTGAAATCTATACCAGGAACGGGGTTAGTGGGAAACTAAACCAAACACTTCTGCTGCAGACGGCTGCTGTGCATGGGTACCCGTGTGCCGAGGTGACCGTCTCTGCTCCTGCCGTGCTACAAGAGAGTTTGCCACTCCGTGAGCTGTATTTTCCAATCAGAGAGGGGAGTTTAAAGATCATAGAATCATAGAATGGTTTAGGTTGGAAGGGACCTTGAAGATCATCCAGTTTCAACCCCTCTGCCATAGACAGGGACATCTCCAACTAGATCAGGTTGCCCAAGGCCACGTCCAGCCTGGCCTTGAACACCTCCAGGGATGGGGCCTCAACAACCTCTCTGGGCAACCTGTGCCAGTGCCTCACCACCCTCAAAGTAAAAAATTTCTTCCTAATGTTTAATCTAAACCTGCCCTCTTCCAGTTTGAAGCCATTCCCCCTCGTCCTGTCACTCCATGCCCTTGGAAAATGTCCCTCCCCAGCTCTCCTGGAGCCCCTTTAGGCACTGGAAGGAGCTCTGAGGTCTCCCCGGAGCCTTCTCTTCTCCAGGCTGAACCCCCCCAACTGTCCCAGCCTGTCCTCATGGGAGAGGTGCTCCAGCGCTCGGATCATCAAAGATGCTGCTATTCCATGCCATTCTTTGCCTTTTTTTAATAATAAGAAAATAGATCGTATTTATTTCTCACCGAAGGCTCTTCTCCCGCTCATGTTACCTCTTGGCTGCTCTGATCTCCAACGCAGGTACTGGAACTCCCTGAGGAATCTGGTGGTCTCCTTGCTGAACTCCATGAAGTCCATCATCAGTTTGCTCTTCCTGCTGTTCCTGTTCATCGTTGTGTTTGCCTTGCTGGGGATGCAGCTCTTTGGAGGACAGTAAGTTTAATTAATCTTTGTCCTTTCAGGGGTTATCTGATGGCAGTTACCCGGAATAGAGAAGGGAGAGAGGGGCTGCAGGGTTTGAAGGGTTCTCGTGGTGGGCGCAGATGTCGGTCCTTCTGTGCTGCTGAGAAGCGGTCTCGGGTTTATAGAAGAGTTCCTGCTCTGGTGTTTTACCCAGAGCTGAATTCTTTCTGGTTACCCTCATTCAAAGCTCCTGTGTCGTTCCATGGTCCCCACGTACACCCACACCTCTGAAATAGGACTGGAGGAGGCAGCACTTTTTCTGCTGTTAGGGGAAAGGCAAATTCTTTCCCCGATGGCCAGGAAGATGGTGTATTTATTCACTTGGAATATTTCTCTGGTGGAAAACATGGTTTTGTTGAATCTGATTTTTCTCATTAGAAATGCCTGTTGTGATGAATTTTGCAGCAAGAAATATCACAGTATTACCATTTAAACTCTAGCATGAAATTTGAAATGAAATAACATGTGGGTTTTTTTTTTCAATCAATCACTATTTTATCTTTAAAATATTAAAATGAAATGATCTACTAAAAGGGCAATTTCAATTTTGACTTTTAAGCTCGAGGACAAAAACTTCTTGGAATGGTTTGTTCGGCAAAATCATTTGAGGTTTTGATTGTTCATTGTAATTGCAGGTGAAAATGAATTTCAAAGCACTGGAATTTTCTCCAGGAATAAAATTGAGTTTCTGCTAATAGTTCTGTTAAGCATCTTCTCAGAGACGTGGTGTTCCCCGCTGTGGTTGCCTGGGGTGTTACTGCCAGGTGGAACGAATGATGCTCCCTGAGAGGGGTTACAGGGTATTCGGAGGCTGCATGGGAGTTGCTTGTGTCTTACTGCTCTTGTTGTCATTTCTTACTTCTCTCCAGATTCAATTTCCAAGATGAAACACCAACCACGAATTTCGATACCTTCCCTGCCGCCATCCTCACAGTATTCCAGGTAAAGCCATACCTCGTTGCACGTTAGAAAATAAATTCCTGAGCATCTCTTCTTGCTTATGGGGAGGCGAAGTAGTCCCCCAAAAATCTGTGGAATTTAGGAAAGGGGAAATCTCTCCTTCTTATCTGTTTTGCCACACTGATTAACCAGTGCATCATTAAAAATTAATGCTATGGAATGAAGGAAAACCAGAACAAAAGATTTTTTGCTAGGAAAAAAAAAAGATTTGTAAAATAGGCTTTTCTGCGCAGAGCTGAAAGTCCATGCGTGCCCGGGCTTTCTTCTTCTGCAGCCCCTGCCCGGGCTGTATGCACAACAGCATCACTCGCCTGTGCCCCGCTGCGGGAACCGTCCTATCCGAAACCCCAGAGACAGCGAGCGAGCGCCGGGTTGACCTGTTTCCCTTTCTCCCGCGGTTGCTGTGATTTAATGAGGAGAGAGGCTTGAGCTAGCTCCAGGCAGTAAGGAAATAATGTAGCATTTTGCACGGTAATAGCTTGAGATAAGATAATGCTGGATAAGAATTACAGTCGATGGGGGAGCACAGAAAGAGGCATTAGCCTTGGGCAAGTTCCTTCGATGGCAGGGAGAAGTCACAGTTCTGGCAGACGCAGTGCTCAGATTTAAGAGGCTGATTTTGCAGCTGTTCTCTGCCTGCCTTTTTTAAACCAGTGGTTTCAGGTGTTTCAGCAGAGCGCTGGGGATGCTGCACCCTGCGCCACGTGCGGGTACCACTCCCGGGTCTGCGGAAGACTGCACCCATAGCCTGGTCCTACACTAACCGCTGACGTGGCTTGAGCTGAGGCTTGAGCCTGGATCTGAACTCTCGCAGATCTCAGCAAGGCTTGGCTTATGTATTTCAAGTGTCATGTCCCAAAAAAGGGATTTAAAAAAAAAAAAAGGGTTGATGACAATTTTTGGATTGAAACAGAAAGAAAACGTGTCCTGTGACCTCTTCATAAGCAGCTTCATTACAGGTATTGCTTCTCTCCAGATGTGAAGCACGTTCGGTAGAACTTACCTCGCAGGATATTGCAAATCATGATACATTAATATTTGCATAGTATTTTAGTACTCATCAAAGAAAGGGCTTAAAGAAACGTTAAGGTATTGCCATAGAGCCGGAACTGAACCCGAGTCAGGCTCCGGATATGAGCATCTGGAAATCTTGACGTTATTGTGCTTTGGGACGGACCAGAGCTGTCTCTTGAGAATACTTAGCTGAAATATTTCCTTTATATTCCTGAGATAAATACCCCTGTAATGTAGTGGTTGTGGGATGAAGGAAAACACTGTTGGTTTTATGACATTTGTCTAAAATGTCAGAGCTACGAATTAAAACCAGCCAAACCCATCAGCACTGGAGTAGCTCCGGGCAGCCTCGCGGAGGCATTTCCATACCCTCTGCTCCCAGTCCGGCCCCCTCCTCCCCTGAACTGCAAATCCAGTGTCAATGTGTCTTCAACACGGGCTTTGGGCTCTCTTCTAACCTTGTCTTCCATGGAGGCAGGCAAGCCGGCGGGCTTGTTTGGTTGCTGCTCTAATGAGCAGAGTAACATCATTCAGTGAACGCACTCGATGTGTTGAACAAATACAATAAAGGCAGATCCGCCCTGTCCATCCCTAGCCCCTCTGGAGGAGGTTCTTTGTTTAACAAACAGTCTTAAAGCCTTCTGCAGCCTGCCTTAGCCCATTTTGCTTCAGCAGACCTGGCTGGGTCACGGTCCACTGTCATGCAACTCCCAGGACGTATTTTATCCACCCGGCAGCGGGCTGAGCCCCGCTCTCCCCAAATTCCCTTTGAGGAGCATCACACGTTTTTCTCCACCTCCTGGTTCCCAGGAAAGTCTTCGTGAGCTGAATGCCAAGCTGTGTATACACTAAATACAAACACAAAACTATATATAAAAAAAATATATTTTCATATATATCTATATACACATGAAAACTATCTAGTTGCATCTCCCTGTTCCAGCAGTCGTTGAGCTGGAAGTGTGTACAACAGCCGTAAGCGCAGGCTCCACACAGCAGAAAGGCCTGTGTTAACGGTATTGCTCTGCTCCCCGAGAGCCGCTACATAAATAATTACACGCTGCCAGCTGCTAAAAGCTGGAGGAGATGAGGAATGGCGGTGGTAGGATGGGACCAAACCTCAGCTCTGCTGGCGGGTGCCCTGCTGAGGCTGGGGAGCAGAGGTGGCTTGGGCTGGATGTCCCGAGTGCCCGCGCTGCCCTGGCTGCCCTGCCCGCGAGAAACGACACTGAGCTGGCGTGATTTGGCATTTACTCGGGGCCTTCTTCGGGAGAACGTCTCGCTTTCAGCACAGCCCTCTGAAATGGCGCGGTTCTGCTCCTCGGCAGCCGAGCGTCTCCCGCCGTTAATGTGCTCATTAGTCCATTCAGGTTTCATGACAGCTCTTTTTCACCTGATGGCTCCTCAGCCAAGCCTAAGTATTAAATGCCGAGAGGCACTCGACAAAATGTTCATTTGGGGCAGCCAAAAGCAGTTTTGGGCCCCGGGAGAAACAATATGTTTAGGCTTCACTCTACACCGAAGTCCTCATTGCTCGCGCCCCTCCCTCTGCTACGCTGTCCTTTTCTCTCCCGTAGCAAAAAGTTCTTATAGCATCCATAAACACAGGCGTTACAAGGCAGAAATACTTTTATTTACTGCGTGCGCTCTGCTCCTCAAGGGCTGCTGCCTAATTGCTTAAGTAATTCCTCCAGCTGATGGGTGACAGTGCAAACAGTGGAAGGACACCGGGTCAAAATCTGTGTCCTCTTGCCGTGGCCTCAGAGCATCCCCAGCTCTGCCCGGGCAGGCTGGTTCGTTTACGCTATTTCTCTCTCTGCAAAAGTTCCACCAATCATTTTTTTTTTCCCCCCTTTAAGTGTTTGTTCCACTTCCAAACTAATCCAGTTGGATTTTCAAACCCAGACCCCAACCTGCTGGACCTGTTTATGCACAGCCTGTAATTTGTGATACCCGGTGCCTCCTGCTCTCCTGCAGGGCATAGACCTGTTCCCGCTGGTTTCCCCTTCCACGAATGTTTGTGTGAACAGAAATCCCTTTATGGTTATTCCTAGAAAGCAGGAACAATTGCGAATTCATGGAAACGGTGTGAATGCAAGTTTGTGAAGAGCATTGTGCGTAATCGAGTGCCAGAGTTGAAAGCCCAGTGCCCGGGTTCGTGTTGTCTGGTGAAAACCCAGAGCGACCCCGGCGGTGTGGGTTAGGCTTGGGCTCTCAATTTGGGGCTCTGCATTACTTGAGACCGGATTCTGCGTTTAGTAAACAAGGTTGTGTGTGCTCTGTATGTCCCTGTGTCTACACTTGCTCTTAACTTATTGCTGTCATCAGCACTGACCCCGCAGCAAGAAATTTTCTCTCTATCAGCAGCTGACGACTGGTCTGGAATTTGCAATCATTTTGAGCATATTGTGTGCACATGGGACTTGATTACTACAGTGCACATCGTGCTTTGGGCTTTTATTGTTTTGGTTTTTTTTTTTCCTTTTTTTTCTTCTGCTAACACGAAGACAACTTCCTATGTAGGAATTTGAGCTTCGCATCCCAGTGGGCATGTTTTAATGTACTAAAAGTAACTCCCTCCCGGCTCTGCCATGGCAGGCGGATGAAGCGCTGATCTGCCCGAAACGCGGCTGCGTTACAGTCGTCGGTGAAGAACAGGACTGGCAGGTCACTCGGGCTGGTGCAAAATTAGCATCTGGCATGACGAGGCTTATTTGAGTCTTGGGTGTTTTCACTTACTCTGATTAGTTAGTCTATTATTCATGTGTTTGCTAATTAGCTTGGGGTCGGCATGCAGAACCTGCAGCCAGGGCAGCTCTGCAGAGCCGGGCTGCGCTCGTGCGCACCTCTACGAGGACGCAGGAGGAGCAGAGTCCCCTTCTGTCCCTCATCTCTCCTCACTCATACATGTTTGCTTATTGCTTTTGCTTAAGGATTTTTTTGGGGGTGTTTTTTTGTGGTTTGTGGCCATCCGGGTGACGGAGCGTCCTCTTGGCCTTGGCAAGCGGGAGACCTGGAGAAGAACCAGTTGCGGTGCAGCTCCCAGGCAAACCCGGCAGCGGTTGTGCCGGCATTTGGAGAAATGCTCGCGCTGCCCGCAGCCCTGAGGAGCAGAGGAATGGTGGAAGATGGGGGTTGGGAGAGTTTCCCCTCCGGTTACGCAGTTACTCGGCGTGTGTGGGTTGGGGGCACGCTGGGCAAAGCCTTTCTGTGTGAAGCGGGTGAAAGGAGTTGGCGCTGGCAGAGGTCCCACTCGGGGCACTGGGATTAGAGGTCAGAGGTGTCTCAGGTCGGTGGGAAATGCCGTGCAGGGAGCTGTGGGAACCCGGTGTCTCTGCACGACCTAAAAATGGAGAGAGGGGAGAAATTTTGCTGGGGGTGAAGTGTTGGAACGTGGCTTTTGCTGCCTCTGCCTGCACAAGAGGCGACGGTGGGAGGTGGGCAGTGGGCACATTAGCAAGAGGGGGCGGGAATGGGGCAATGGTCCTCCCTCAATGGTCCTCCCTCCTCCTCAGCCCGTGCCAGAGGAGAGAGCTGCATCCAGCCGGGGGTGAGACCGTCCGGGGCCGGGGGTTGATGTCCGACCCTGCAGTCTGCTGCACTGATGTGCGTTTTCCCCTCCGAGGCCGGTCCTGCCTCTCTCCCCCAGACCTTATCTACTTTGTCTTTCCTTTGAGTCACCCCTTCTTCTTCTCTCTTGAATTGCGCTGTGCAGATCCTGACGGGGGAAGACTGGAACGCGGTGATGTACCACGGCATAGAGTCGCAGGGCGGCGTCCGCTCGGGGATGTTCTCCTCCATTTACTTCATCGTCCTGACGTTGTTTGGTAACTGTATCCTTACACACTGCCTTGTGTTGGTGGCACAGTGTGCCACACACCCTTCCTGGTGCCAGGAATATCTAATTTTATTTAAATTCTTACACCCCCAATTCCACTTTTTAAACCCAAATCATTGCTAAACTTTGCTCCTTGCAGCACCCGGGGTAAGAGACGTAGGTAAGTTGTCCATGTTGGTGTCACTTTTCTGATGGCAATGCGAGCATAGTCTTCATTCATTTTCAGTTTCATGTTTTACCTTAAAAATGTCCTATTATAAGTCAATTTATGTTGTGGGAAAAATGATTGATGTCAAGAGAGAGCAGGACCTCTGTGCTTTGAATATCTTCACATATAGTTTGCGCTGAGTTGGAGGAAGGAAGAGCTGAGGATGGTTTGGGGTGTAGATCAGGCTCTGGTCTCTCGGTGCCTTGTCTGCAGGGCAGCTTAACCAGCGGTGCTATTCCAAGTGCTTGTAAATTGTCCTGTCTCCACAGAACGCTTAAAACTAAAGTCCATATCTTGGGTTCAGGGCTCTGGGAGTATTCCATCACGTTCCGAGACCTGACACATGAAGTCTCTGAAGATGTTTTGTTCGGCTTAGCCATGAAAAATGGGAGCAACAGGAAACTGGGAGCTCACGTTCCCCCCCAGAATGTCCCCGGGTGTCTGCTGGAGAACCGGCAGCACCTCTGATGTGTGTTATGTCCCTGGAGAGGTCTGAGGAGGCAAGACCACAGCAGTCAGATGGAGATGGGGTTTGGAAGGGGAGGCTGTATTTTATACAGAAATCAGCAATGAGATTCTGTGATCTAATGGCTGGGTGTGATGAGGAGAGCCAGCGGCGCATAGAAATTGTGATGGCTCTGTCCCTGCTTCATGATGGGGGATGCTGATGGGCTGATATTGCGTAGATTGCTCACATTAACTAAGTACAAAACCTTTGGTGCGAGACGTTTGCTGGCTGCAGCCGCAAGCTGTGTGGAGTCAAACAGAGCATCCTTAAAAATGGAAAAACTGTTGCGTAGACGAGGCAGCCTGGCTGGTTTGTTTGTTCTGTAAAATAGGGATAATAAGGCTGAGCGTTGCTGCTCTGCTTGAGAGCTCTCTGGAGGGTTTCCCAACAGCCCCAACCTTCTTACCAGTTACAGTCCCAGCGTTCGACTTTTCCTAGGAGTCCCGTTTGGGCTGGCAGCATCCGCTGGATACCTAGGGGAGAGGGAAGGTACGTGGGGGAAATACTTGTGCTGAAGATGGAGAGTTGTTACAGACATCGTCCCCTTCGCCTGGCGGCCAAGATGACAAGAGATGAGACATCAGCGCCCACAGACTGCATGGCTGAGCTCCGGCCCTCTGCTTTGCCTGAAATCTCCCCATTAGCACGAGGAATGGAGACGGGGAAGGGCGGAGCAGACAGCGCGCGAGCCGTGCTTGTCACACAAGTGTGTCTCTGCGGGATTGATCCCATTAACGTGCGCTGTCGGAGCCAGAGCAGCCGTGATGCCCGGGCTGGCTCGGCGGCTCAGCTCAGACATCCGCCTCGTGGCGGGCAGCGTGTCCCCTTCCAGAAACATGGGGCTTTGGGAAACTGGGTCAATGGAGAGCTGGGAGGGAGGGAGTTCTCTAAATCCTCAGGGCTTGGCATTTGAAAATGAGATTAAGCTATAATCAGGCTTGACAGCAGAGCTGAGAGAGAGACTTTTAACCTCAGAGCAGCTAAGAGCCAGCATTTTTGAGGAATGGGATATGAATTCCCTTCTTGCAGTTTTAATTCAGAGGGGGCTTCTCCCTCATCCTTTCATTAATTAGAGCAGGAGATTTTCAAGAGGAGGGAGTAAGGACCTGGTTCACCTATTGCCACTGCCATGAATTTGGCATTTCCCTCTGCTTGCCCTGGCAGAGTGCTGACTCGAAACCTTACCCACTTTCTCCCCAAATATCACCCCGCCAGAGAGCAGCCGTCTTACTTTCCCTTCTGCTGTCCTGCTGCCGAGGAGATCCAGGAGGTGGCTTTCCTGGCTGCTTCCCCGGGACCACCTCCAGTGCCCCTCTCATGCCCTTTGCCCGCGGGCGCACGCTGGTGGCACACCTTCAGCGCCGGCGGAGCGCTCCTCGGGGCACCGTCTGGGCGTTTAGCACGGAGGAAGTGTTGGGTGGGATTCTTGGGCTCTCCACGAGTCCTGCAGATGGGGGTGAGTTTGCTGCAGGTGGGTTTCTGGGAGCACGAAGCACAGAGAGAGGGGAGAGCTGGCTGGCAAGGGGTAACAACGCTCAGAAACCCTTTTATAATGTCCTGGAAGACTTCTTTCACCAGCCTCTAGTGGTCAGAGGCATAAACCTTGAAGCAACTCTATTAATTTCCATGGCGACTTACATCCCTCTTGGAGAATGAGAGGCCTGGCCCGGATCGGCTCTGTAGACCCTCGGTCTGAGAGCATCGGCCACTTTCACCGAGAGCTCGTAAGAGCCTTTCGGCATCGCGTATAGTCCTGTTTGCCATTAAGCACCCTGGGCAGGAGGGGAGAGCTGAGCCTGGAGTGCGTGATGGAGGATGAGGGGTTAAATCTTTTCCTTGTCTGTTTTCCATGGGAATGGCAGGAGTGAGCCCACTGACGCTTGCGCTGATATGTCAAACGGTATTTCAGTAAGGTCGGTGCTACCCCTGCTTTTCACCAGCTGCAGTTTTGATGCTGAGAGCAAGCAGCAGGCAGTCATTCATCTCCGAGGGAAAGCTGACCTGTATGACTTACCAGGGACTTAAGTTATCATTAACTGTCCAAACATAACCAGGAACGTCTGGAAATAAAGTTTAGTTGGCCAGAAAAGACCAGTCCTGCTTTTTTGCAGGAAATGAAATAGTCATTAATGTCACTTGATGCTGCAGTGCCGCAGCAGTGTTAAGGACAGGCGAGCGTACGTGTCTGAGCCTGGGGCTCGCCTTCCCGAGGAGAGCCCCACAGCCCAGCAGACACCAAGAGGACACCCTATAGAGAGCAGTCCGAGCTGTTGATTAGCTTAATTATAGATTAGATGAACGTGAACTGTCTTTTCTGCTCTGACTTGGGTCTTCACAAAGATCCCCCCCACCTCTGCCTTACAGAAGTCCCTCCAAAAAGCTTTAAAAATACTTTTTTTATGTAATGGATTTTTTTCCTTTGTCAAGTGTGGATTTGTCACCAGCCCTCCCCACACGGGCGCTCACTGCGGCTGAATTTCTGAAGTGGGACTTTATGTTTTTGTTCTCTTCTATCACTACCATTGAAATCAGTCTAAGCCCTTCTAGATGCTCATCAGCGAAAGGCACTTCGGTTCCTCTGCCAGGAGGGGTTTTAATTTCAATTTTTGAACACTGGCATTGGGTGAGTCCATTTTTAAGAGTTTAGGCAGACTGGATCAAACCTTGTTAGAGAATTGGCGTTGGCGATTTTTGGGTCAGCTTGCAAAACTTGCTCTTTTTAAACATGACTCACTCCTTTCTCTCCCAGAGCTGCTCGGGGGCACTGTGATTGTTCTTTTTCATGCAGGAGAAAGGCGGGTGGGTGCCCCTTCTCACTGCACCTCAGTTGTTTCTTTGAATCCCTTTACTTCTTTCTCCAAGGGACTATTGCAAGGAAAAGATCCAGAAACTTTGTGTAAGTCAGAAGTCTCTCACAGTACATTCCTGGTTCCAGATTTTCTGCGCAGAGCCAGACCTCTGCATCTGAAACGGCTTAATGAAAGTAGTATGATTAGAGTGACAGCAGGATTTGGCCCATTTTCTAGGAAATTACACGGTGCCTGTATTCATTGTTATCCAGTTAATTGATAAATTGATGCATCTGTTGAGGAAAAAAAAAAAAAAGAATAGAAAAAAACCCCATGAAAAACTGCGGAGGAGACTGAAATGAAACGCAGCAAATGCCTGGAACACGCTGCCCTTCCCCTCGCCCTTAGCAGGAGAGCCGTACTCGGCACCAGTACGCTCCGCTGGCCAGCGGGGTCCCTGGGTCTGCCCAGGTCATACAGCCTGCACCAGAGACTGGGGGATACTTGGGAGTCCCCAAGCCCTGCAGATAGGGCTGAGGGACCTTTTTTGGGGGGCAGAACCACCCAAGTCTGCCAGCTTATGTCTGCTTTGGAGACAGAACAAAACAGCCTAATCTGTTAAAAAAAAGAATAAAATTCCAGTGGTTGATTATGTTACACGAGACATTTTCAGCATCTGTGTGTAGGAGGCAGGGGGAGGAAGACAGTTTTATTACTGAGACGTACATTCCCAGAGCTTGGAAGTGGTTCCAATGTGTTGGAAGCACCCCAGAGGGAGAAACCCAAACAGTCGGCACCGGCCGGCGCAGCAGTGCCTCAGCCCCCCTGCCCGCACCCCCTGCCCGCACCCGCAGCCATCTCTTGCCAACCGTCGGTTAAAAGGAAAAGAAGAAATTAGTATCTTTGCCAATGAAGAGCTGATTGAGCTCTGACTTCAGCGTAGGGGGAGGTCGATCGTTTCAGCATCGGCTTTCCCTCTCTCTTGTTCTTCCCCTGCCGGGCTCACCAGGATCGGGGTGCTCCCGCCCCACGCTCGTTGCTGTCCTGCTGCAACAGAGGAAGGAGCAAGTGATGGGCGTCATATATCAAACCTCTGTCTGTCCCAGAGGAATCATCTATACGTAATCATAGAATCATAGAATGGTCAGTCCCTTTTCATAGAATCATAGAATCACAGAGAGGTTTGGGTTGGAAGGGACCTTAAAGACCATCCAGTCCACCCCCTGCCCTGGGCAGGGACACCTCCCACCAGCCCAGGTTGCTCCAAGCCCCGTCCAACCTGGCCTTGAACCCCTCCAGGGATGGGGCAGCCACAGCTTCTCGGGGCAACCTGCCCCAGGGGCTCACCGCCCTCACAGGGAAACATTTCTTCCTGATCTCTCATCTAAATCTCCCGTCTTCCAGTTTGAAGCCATTCCCCCTCGTCCTATCACTCCATGCCCTTGGAAGAAGTCCCCCCCCCCAGCTCTCCTGGAGCCCCTTTAGGCACTGGAAGGGGCTCTAAGGTCTCCCCGGAGCCTTCTCTTCTCCAGGCTGAACTCCCCCAACTCTCTCCGCCTCTCCTCCCAGCAGAGGGGCTCCAGCCCTGTGATCATCCTCATGGCCCTCCTCCATCTGAGGATGGATAAAACATGATAAAACCTCCATCTTGTGTTACATGAAACGGAGAAAACCTGAGGGATGAGCTGGCCTTTGCCTGGAGAAACCCCAGGGCTCTGCGCCCCATCCCCATCAGGATGCAGATGCACCCTAAGAGATTAAACAGAGCTCCTGCTTTCCACTGTTGCAGGCAGAGGCTCCAGTTTGGACAGGCATTCAGGCTCTGGAGACACTTGTCTCAACGGGAATTAGGGACGGGAACGTCTGGTTCTGTAGTCTTGGCTGAATTGCATTTGGTAAAAGCTCTTGAGAGGGAAAGCAAAGAAGCTTCGAGGTGGTTGTTGGGCTGACTTTGGTCCCCGGCTGCCCTGGGCTGTCTCCTGGTGCCGTGCCAGCGCGGGGCAGTGGCTCTGCAGCCCGTATGATGGGGAGTTCTGGGCTCGCTCCTGCTCCTGCAGCCCATCCATCAGCCTCGCACTGCTCCTCTGTTTATAAACCACAGCTGCCTCCTCCAGGCATCCTGCCGAGAAAGAGAAAGCAATCAGAGGGCCAAGGTTTCCCAAAAATCTCGGTGCGGGTTTGCCAGCAGCCTGGCAGCTCACATCTCGCCTCTCCTGCCCTCGCTGCAGCCGTGGTCCTCATCACGCCGCTCTCGTCCCTCGGTCCTGCGGTGCTGCGGGCATTGCTGCCAGCTCACAGCCAAAGCAGGGGACACCTTCACCCCGCGGAAGATAACTGGGTTCGTTGCCTAAAACTGCTGCGAGACGTTTCGCTGGGCTGGTGGGGACCTGCCGCTGGTCCCAGGCTGGTGTTGGGCTCTGGTGGGGACGGTGCGGCACAAACCCACCGCAGCGCATTGCTGTTAGAGCCTGTAAGACTCTCCAGAGGGTAAATACTCATGAGACCAACTTTGTTCTCATGTACGTTCATATTTAGAGGAGCAGCCGCAGCTTTGCACAGCTATGGAGTGAGTGACTCTGCTGTCACCAGGTCGTGCGCAAGAGCAAAATGCGTTTTCTTCTTCTTGGAGAGCAGTTGAGATTGGGTTTTGCTTTGTTTGCTCTCCTTTCCTATGCAAAGGTATCTGATTTACAACTGTTTTGGGGCTGTTTTGCAGACGTGTAGCTGGAATAACCGACAATAAAATATACGAAGGGACAAGTAATAGCTGAAGCCATTAAGCGGAAAAAAATGAAAATAAAATATGAATAAATAATTATAGGGAAATGTTATGTCTTAGTGATATAATGCAGTGCTGTGCAGAGAGACCCAGGCTAGCGTGGGCGCTGGCGCTTGTTTTGCTGGGCTATATGCAATTTGGCCTGGACTAACGGCCCCTTTCCCGGCAGAGCTCATTAGCTCGGGCCGGGTGTCCTGCTAACGGGCTTTTCTGGAGCTGTGCTCTACGTGATGCTGCAGCATTCAGGACAGAGGATGTCCACAGCGATTTAATTGTCATATCGTCTTCAGTGTGATCAGTCATGATAGTTTCCTCCCACCCGTATGTAACGCAGCAGCGACCTAAGCTTAACTTTCTCATGGTACCCAATGCCTTTAAATAGCTATGCCTATATATCGTGCAAATGTTGGCTTTAAAATGACCGATTTTCAGGAGCTCTCCTGGTTTTAAACAAGCGGGGAAAAATGAAGGTGATCACCTGTGTGCGTGTGTACGGGCAGGAGGGCGGCTGTGGGTTTTCTGGAATGAAACAAGGGGGCTGCTGTGTCTGTACGACCACCGTGTGGTCCTGTACCAGCTGCACCCATAGTGTTGTACAGCCCGTCTGCCCAGCACGCCTGTGGATCTTCTCCGGGTAATATGTGCCGGGAAGAGAGCAACGGGTGTCCGGCCCCGCTGCGCTGTGGAGCTGCCTGCCGGTGCGGGGGAGGGAGAAATGAAGACAGCACTGGTGCGAGGGGTCAATCCATATGTCCTGGTTTGAGCGACACAGGACTAATGTCTCTTCTAATGCTTGGGAAAACTGCCCTTTTAGAAGACTCTAGTGTCTGAATTGGTGAAAATATTCACTTTATAGCCAGCTATGGTGTGCGGGTTTCAAGGTCTCGGTGTTTTCAACCTCACCAGGTGTGGGGATGAGGAGCGAGACGCGGGCACTTGACCCAAGCTGCCAACGGGGTTATTGCATACCACGAACGGCACATTCACAATAAATTAGAAAGTTTGCTGTGGAGTGCTCTCTCCCCCTCGATGGCCGCCATCCTGGGAACTCCTCGCCCCGGTGCCGGAGCCCCGAGCCCTTCCCTTCCTCCCGAAGCCGCAGCGCTGACAGTGTCCCACGTGGGCTGTCACTGCTGGGGGTGCACAGCTTCCCCTGATAGAATGGGCTGAGTGTATTTTATATTAGTATTGGGATCAATATTGGTTCTTTAATATTATTAATGTTAATTATCTAGTCTTATTCTATGAAATCTATTTATATTTGAAGCCCCCAGGTTTCCTTGTTTCTTCCCCGATTCCCTTTCCCAGGTGGGGAGGGGTCTTTGGGTGAGAGAATAATTGTCTAAATGACAATAAATTGTTGTGGGTTCCTCAAACCATAACACCACAACGTACCGATGACTGTAAGTGGGGAAGAAGGGTGGTGGCAGCAGAAGGGGAACAGTTCACTGTATTGGCTGTGTGAAGATCTTTTTCCTTAGCTGCTCCCCAAAAGATACGCTCCTGAATGTCTTCTTGGCTATCGCTGTTGACAATCTGGCAAATGCCCAAGAGCTGACCAAGGTACGTACGAGACTTCTGTTTCTTCAAACTTAGTCCCCAGTGCACGTCCCCGACCCCTCCAGACACCCGGAGGTTTCCCCCAGAGCCCGTTCACGCCGTGTCCCTGTTTACCAGTTGGCATTGCAGAGAGGGACCTGGAGGTTTATTCTCGTTCAGGTTTGGTTTATTTCAGGCTTGTTTCAGCGAACTATTTCACGTTCTTTAGTTTCGTTTTATCACAGAGTGGGCAGCGGGCGTTGCTCATCTCGCTGCTGCATGGAGGACACCGGCATTTGTAGCATTTGCTGTTTTCAAGAGCAGAGGCAAAGCAATTAACAGGTTTTGGCTGACTTGAAGCTTAGACATGGGGAAACGCAGGTGTTGGATTGCTGCTTTTGCTGTCTTACGCTAATGTTTCCCACCTTGCTGGGTTTCGGGATGAATCAAAGAATTAACATTCTCCAGTCGACTCCCTGGAAAATAGCTCGCAGAGGTGATTGCACGTACGCGGTGAAGATGCCATAACCTTCCTCTCACCAGCTGCAAGAGAAACTGGAGGCGGCAGCCCAAGCGCGGGCAGAAAGCCAGAGCCCGGCAGGAGAGGGGAATGGCACCGGTGGGACTGTGTTGCCCGCGCGGACTGCGGCCGGAGCCTTCCCTATGGGGGAGAGCGCACGGCCGCGCTGTTGGGCAGGGGGGACTGCAAGTGCTGCGGTTGGCACTCGTATTAGTACGTACTTTGGAGTTCCCGTTGGAGCACGCTCGGTTGTGTTTATGAGGCAGCGTTAGATTTTGTTGGCACGTTTCTAGCTTGTTCCCGCCGGGTGGGTAAAACCACGCGCGCCCCATTTCTGCGCTGCTGCCACCACCGTAAGTCGGGGTGACCTGTCACAGTGACCTGCCAGGGCCAAGAGAAGCCCCGTATCCACCTCAGGGGTTGTATTTCAGAAGCTTTAGCTCATATACTCCTTGCAGGGCAAGAACATCGCTAGCCACGTGCTTACACAGCAGCGGGCAAGGATGTTTTCTCTTTTTAGCGTCGTAGAAAGGTGCAGTCATTGATGGATACGTGACACAACTCCACAGTTCAGGGGGACAGAGGTCTCTGGGAGTTTTTTGCCCCACTCCAGTGGCTGAGGACCAAAGCAGCCACCCGCTCCCAGTTACAATCCATGTCCCCATTGTGGCTGAGCTTGTTTTTACCAGCTCTCCTTTGCCGTGGAGCTGCGTTACTGGGTTCAGGTTCCAGCTCTGACTGGAGCGTTGTCTCCTGACAGCTGATACCCAGTGTGGACCGTACAAGAAGGCTGGTGGCTTGCAGGTCTGTAATAAATGTTCCTGTGTCTCTGAGACCATGTTCTGCATCCCTCCTCTCTTAGGATGCAGCTCAGGGCTGTGTTTCTTGGCTCTCAGTTGGGTTTTTGTTGGGTTTTTTTGTTTGTTTGTTGGTGGGTTTTAGTTTGGTTTTATTTTTTTGGTTGGTTGGTTTTGTTTTTTTCTTTGGGAATTTTTCCCTTGGAGCAGCTCAGCTGTTTCTATTCTTTCTGAAGGCCACAGAAAGCTCCAGCACGGAGGCATGCCTCCTCCCAGCCCGGTCAGGAGATTTATGGGCATCCCCTGCATGTGCTAAGGGAGAGGATCAGGCCCAGCACAGTTCTTGGATAATGAAGCTCATCCTCCTCCTTCCTTAATCCTTTTAGTGCCTTCTTGTGAATATTTCAGTGGCTGACTGGGAGGGTTAGAAACCTGACTTTGTTGATGTTTATAAAGTATAATTAAGTATTGATGGATTTGGCAGCATTGCCAAATCATAAAGCTCCTTTGGAAACTGTTTTGGTTTTTTTTTTTCTTTAATTCTATTTATGATCCCCCCCCCAAAATCACTAGGGCTTTCAAAAGAAGAGGAAAAAGAGAAAAGTAATTCAATTATATAGCATACCTGCAGAATGAGGGATTTATTGCTAAGTAAATATGATCATGCAAAATCAAAAACGGCCCGGAGATATAATTAAGTTACTCAGGAGTCAGTTGATCTCAGGAGACTCTCTTGACATTTACGCTGTAAAACGAATCGAGATCAGTGCTGCGCGTAATGTGGGGAAACCGTGAGCAGTTTGGAACTGCCTCTGTTTTGGAAAGCCAGAAAGCTTTCCAGCTACCCTTCGGGACTGAAATGTTTCAACCAACATTTCCACTTCTGGCCACTAATTTGGACTTCTTTTATCGTGGCGTTTGAACATTTTTCAGCAACCTTGGCTGGGCCTTGTGACCTGAAGTTATCAGAATTGTAACTATATTTAACTTAAGCTTCATCATCCGATGTCTGTTACAAAACTCACCAGTACTTTGGAATGACTCATTTTAGGGAAGAATAAAAAAGAATCACCTTCTTTGCTTTGAGTATATAAAGAATCTGTTCTCCATCCTCTCCCTCCCCGGGTGTCTCTCGTCCTTTCCCTGGGCTGGCTTTCCCTTAAACTGACTTAAACTCTGCCAACTTAATTTCTAGTGATTTCTCAGAACTGTCCTGAATCTGTTTGCATTTAGATTTTCCCATATATGGGCAGGTTTTTCTTCTGTTCACTTACTCAGAGTGGAATCTAAAGTTGCCCCCAAAATTTGCTTTTAAAGATCTTCTTGCCGCTGACTATCCCGTAATGTCTCTGGTGACACACGGCAGTTCGTTCTTTGTCCTCGTTAATCTGGCCGGTAATGCCGCCACCAGTGACCCTTTATTATCCTAAAGCACAAAGTGTGTTCTCTGATCTCTGCGCACGACCAGCAGTCCCTGAGAAAGCGGTATAAAAACTCTGGGATAGGAGGAATGTGCGAATTTTACAGAAAAATATATTTAAAAAGTTGAGAAATCCCCAGAAATAATGGACTGAAGAGAGCGGCAAAACCAAGAGTCTAACGGCCGTGAAGACCCCTCTTCCTCCTTCCCAACAGAGAGGGCTTTAATTGGGTGAACTTAATAAAGAACAGCCGGACCTAACGACGCTCATCATTACGGGCAGCACTGAAGACGGGTTTTACCATGTGATAAACTGTGTGGTTTAAGTGAAGGTTTGGATTTTACCCTGAAATCCGAATATGGGCTAATCTGTCTTCAAGGTTCATGTAATTTTTTAGATCCTGGAGAACCTGTTTGCCCAACATACATGTACTTACTTCTTTCAATCTTTCCTCGGAACTCAGTTTTCAAACTTTTCAATGGCTCTTCTTGATTTTTCTGCATTTCCTGCAGCTTGCGTGCAGCTTGCTGGCACGGCGTGTCAGGGTTAGATCATTTCTTACCATTCTCAATCTGGATTTCAGTTTGGTAACTGGCATTTTGGTTGAGATGGAACAACACCATTAAAAGAAAAAGGGGAGGAACTCCAAAAAAAACCCAAAACCCAACCCAGAAAGGAAACATAAAAAAGAGATGTCCTTATAGGCAGGGCCTTTATGTGCACTTGCCCCTGTAATGACGGTCTGAGCTGGTGGTGGGAGGTGGGATGGAGGGATGTCACCATCGCAGCTCAGAGCTGGCTTCACTCACGCGCCGTCACACCCCGGCGAGCTTCACGCAGAGCAAGATGAGCCTGTGCCCCAGTGAGACCTGGCAGTGCAAGTGTCAGGCAGCAAATTAATTAATTTTTGGAGTGATCTGCAGTCTCTGGGTGGAAGGAGCTGCAGGAATGTTATTAAGCAGTCATCTGCTAAAGAGCGTGCTGGTTCGGAGTTAGGGACAGCTGCCTTTATAATGACAATGGATATTTTCTGCTGTTACTTTGAGCTGTCGAATCCGGCAGAATTACCAATGCGGCAGCGAGAATGTGGCTGAAGCGACAAATTTTAAAGAGATAGTAAAAACTGCACCTGGTGCTTTAGGTGCCCAGAAAGAAAAATCAAGAGCCTTTGAATGTGTGTGATTTTAACACTGCTCGAGAGTCCTCGAGAAGAAACGACTTGAAGATACCTGCGGAATGAAAGGAAAACCTCCTTATTTGGGGGCCTTGTTCCTCAAAAGATTCATATTCTGCAGACAGCCTTTATTTACAACAAGCTTCCAAACCGTTGATAAATTTACTGAAGCGGCAGTTGAAAAATATTGACTTTGTATAATCTTTCAGCAGGGCTTTCTTTCACAGCCTGTCTCAGGTTCTTCATTCACTACAGTAAGAATTTACTTGTTATAGATTTGCTAATATTTGGAAAGGGGGGGGAAAAAAGCAAAACTTTAATGGTAGCAAATTTTTTGATTAATTTTCCATCATTTCTTTTTCATTCCAAAGGAGAAAAGGAAAAGAGTTTCAAAATTATTTCAGTTTAAGGAACTAACACCAAAGTCAGAGTAAGGAATTGTTTATGCATTTGGTATTGAGGGATGGATAAATCTCTATGACTTCCTAGTTCAAAGCTGGCTGCCTGACTGTCTGCTCTCATTATTTTAAGCCTAACTGTTTCACAGCGTTACCTTTGAGGAGCAGAGGTAGACCTGTAGCATGTCATAAAGTCTGACAGGAGAGCCCGTGACTGCTCTCACCCTCGTTTGTGGTTATTCCCTGAGCGTGTGTGATGCTGACGTTGCCATCGGATGGTCTGTGTTTATCCTGCCAGGATTTTACCATCTAAATCGGCTGGCTAGATAGTTCAAAGGAATTTTAACCCAGACGACCATTGAAAAGGAACCAGTCTGTTTCTTTAACATTTGCCCTCATCTCAGTGCTTAAGATCCTGTAGTTTGAATCTGAGCAGTAGCTCTTTTGTCATTACACCAGGTGAACAAATCACAGCTATTCTCTGCAGGAACCTGCAATGCCAACAGAGGTTAACCCCCCCCCGTGATGCGGGAGGAGTGCAGAAGGCACGAACACAGCCATCTTTCTGATCTGTGCGGGAGTCTACACACTGCGCTTTGATGTGGCTCCTCCTTTCTGTTTTCACCCCGTGTGTCTGCAGTGATTCAGCTTAAATAAGTGGCAATATCTGGGGTAAAACTGGTTTGAGCAGGACCAGTCAAACCCAGCGTTGCTTATCGGACTTACTGTTTCAGAAAAGTCACACTGGCACGCAGTCACGAAGGATTTAGGAGTCTCACACATTTCAGTGGGATGTAGGGTTTAGAGTGCTTTTACGTGTGCAGGTCTGAGATAAATGGGGCTCGCTTCACCCCAGAAATGGGGCTCGCTTCTGTCACACTTGTGATCGGGTCTCTCCCTGCCCTGCCGTAGTCTCCTACCCCAATGCTAAGTGGGAAGAGGAGACCCAAGAGAGGTAAGAAAGCTTTGCGAGAGAGGTGCAATCATGATAAAAACGCACTAAGTACTTGACCAAACCTTACATTTCTCACCTTGACCAGCTGTTGTTGGCACCAAGACCCTACCCCGGAGTCCTTGCAAGAAGTTCTGCCTTATTTTAATGAGTTTCCACTGTTCTCGCAGCGTGGCGGTGACAGTCGCGTATGACTCGTGCCTCGGGGAACTCTGCTTATTGTCACTACATGACAATGACTCTGATTTCTCTTGATTTTCTGCACCAGGACGAGGAGGAGATGGAGGAAGCCACCAACCAAAAGCTCGCTCTGCAGAAGGCCAAGGAAGTGGCCGAAGTCAGCCCCATGTCTGCAGCTAATATTTCCATAGCCGCGTAAGCATCTTTTTATTATTTGGGTACTTTATAACTCAGTTTTATGTTTTTCAGTGTCAATATATGTCTGTTCAAGCGGAGCATCCCATAGTACTCTGTGAGCCCTTTTATACCGTCTGTTACTGACAGGGCTTTAGGTTGACTGAATACTTCAGCGCTGATTGCTTAACCATGAATCTAATTAAGTATTTCTTTTAGTTTGTTTTTCTTTGTAATGCCTCATCTTTTGCCTTGCTATAAACAACTGTATTTTAGAAGGATTTTTTTAAGCTGTCCTGGGATAGATTTCACCAGGTGAAGTGTTAACGTTTCACTTTGGATTTTTAATTACGAGTGGTATGTGTGCACATAATCCATTAACTATTCTTTAATGATCTCTGCTGTGAGAATTTACATGCAAAGGCATCCTCCTAGATACCAGACTGAAAAATATGCTTGAATGCTCTTTCTTTGCTGTTTGAAAGAGTGCTGGCTTGAATAAAACCATGTACGTGAGCAGTCGCTGGTTTGTAGCTAGAAGCATCAATTTGCATTTTCAGATGCAGGCTTTTCTGCGTGGACACATGCACAGATCCTGTGATAGCAGAATCCTTAAAAGACGCTGCCTTGGGGCTCACCCTTTCAATAGGTACTGCTCTAAACTGAAGTGAAAAAATGATATGTAGGTGGAAATCCTCGTGCAGATGTTGCTGAGGTCAATGCAGAGCTCTGCCCGCGTGGGATTACGGGGCTGTGTTGGAGACGTGCCACTTTGCACAGATCTACTGAAAAGTATGTTCTTCTTAAAGGTTCATTTAACTCTTCTGGAATTTTAGCGTCAGGACTACCAGCATCCAAAAATTTGTTTGTGCATTTTACTGGGAGCTGCTGATGTTTTCCAGACCCCTTTTGCAGGGGAGACCTCCAAAGGCCAGAGAAGTTCAAGCGCAGAAGAAGAAATTTCCTGTTTGATTTTATTGCAAAGGATCTGAAATGCAGCAGGATCCCTGTTTGCTCCTTCAGTGTAAATCTATTGAGACCCCTGTTACTGGGAGTTAAATCCACTTCATCAAAGACAATAGGCCAAATGGAGCCAGTTCATTATATGTTAAGGAAAAGAATATTATTAATTTGACTATTTTACTCTTCTTAACATTTTATTTTGCCATTACCGCTTTAATCAGCTCCTATTTATTCTGTGTCTGTTTGTAGGTTTTAAATATAATCCTTTTCTTACAATGATTTCCTGTCCAGTCTTGAAAAGAAGACAACTGAGAATATTTGCTCTTGTTCTTTGATGAATTTCCTGGTGCTGTTATTTTAAAATGCATAATGAGGCTTATTTTCTTCTTTTTAAATCAAAAGCAGAGTGCATGTGAAGATTTCTTAGAAATCAGAAAAAAAAACCCCACTTAATTGGAGCTAAGATTTCACACCGCATTGTTAGTTGCTTAAAATAACCTTATTCCATGATTTTTTCACCAGGCTTTCACCTGGTTTTTAATATCACAGGGCCGTTTTTTTTTTTCCCCCACAATTGAAAGTGAGTACAAAATTGGGGATTTCTGCTTATTTTGCCTCAAATTGTATCTGCCCGGATCCCTACCCGCAACGTTTATACAGGCAGGTAATTAGGCTGACAAACGAGCCCATCTGAAAGGGCAGTCGCTCTCTTCCACATCTGCCACCCACGGCAACATCGTGTGTGCCGTGTGGGAGCCGTCGTCTCGCAACCGTCGTGTGACTTCTCGTTAGCGCTGCTTTGGCGCCAGGGAGGTCCTTACAAGGTGCCGCGCACAAAGCTCGCAGGGCTTTGGTTTGGAAACAAATTGGAGTAAGGTCACGAGGTCGATGAGCGAATGGATAATGCCATAGAGGAGAAGGCAGGGGAGAAGTTAGGTGCTTTGTGGGACAGAGGTAGGTGTATGGATGGAGATTGCTGGCTCGTGATCCAATAGATATTTAATGAGTGCATGCCAAAACAATTTGTTTAATACACAAAGACATCCATAGTGAACTCCAAAGGGGCTCAGCAGCTACAGCTCTGAGGTTTGCAGCACTTATCCCTTACGTACCTCTACCCAACACAGCCGGGCTGACGAGAGGGACCCGCACTGACAGCCACACGTACCCCGATACTTCATCTCTTCACGCTCGTAGGCTACACGGTGGTCCTGAAGATGGAGCAGACGCCGTGTTGATGGCAAGACTTGTCACATCAAGGCTCTGGTGTGATTCAGAGCTGGACATGCCGAGAATCAAATAGTGCTGGGCACGCTTGGAAACGGGATTTTTGGCATATGGAAATACCACTGCAAAAAGCAAACGCCTGTAGAGCTTGGGGGTACCCCTAAGTGGGCGGTGAGCAGGGGTTGGGAAGAACCGGGGCCGAGCTACCAAGGGCCTGCTGCAAAGGTGGCTCTACCCTATCAGTTTATGGTTTTGTTTTCTCCTAAGGAATAATTTTTTAGTTTTATAATTTGATTTTATTTTCCTAACCTATGAAAATGGATTCCTATAGCAACCGGCACCTATAGCACGGATCAATGTTCTGAAAACATCAACGTTTTCTCTACCTGCATCAATCAAAACAGGTCTCGGGTTTTAGCAGAGGGCACCGTGACTCGCATTTCCTTAGTCACGACGTTCGTGTTCCCGGCGTGCTTGTCCACCTCCCACAGAGGTGATAAAGCCGTCCTGGGGCTGAGTCTGATGAAAAGTCATATCGGTTGTTCTGCTGCTTCACCGGCGAGGTGCTGTGCTTGCTGGTTTGCTCCTTTCCCTTGTCAGTCCTACATCAAGGACTGAGAGCGTGTTATTTCCCCCTAAGCCTCCTTTGGGGCCGTTCCGCACTCTGCAGCGCTCTCTCTGCTCCTCCACCTCCGGCATTTTTCCTGTGGCATCACAGCGTGCACGCGCGCTCTGTACGCTCCCGTGCCCGCAGTGGATCTGCACCGGTTCTTCTGCTCTCCTCTGCCATTCGCACCTCTCGTCACAACTCACCTCCGGGAAACGTTCCATTTATTGCATCAGCTGCAAAATGTCATTTCCTAGGCAGAAGAAACTGGTTGCTTATTTAGCGTGTCAGCCCGCTTGGAGGGTCCAGAGAGGTACCTTCACCTTTGCACATGCCATAGGCTGCTGCGTGAGCCCCAGATTGTTTTGTGGTTGATAGATGGTGAAGCGCTACGGTGTTATGGGATCTGTTTTAATAATATACTCATTATTACCGTGGCATCAGGATATCATCTATCTTGCAACTGACTCAAATTGCTTTATTACAATGTTCTACCCGCACTTGGTTTGTAGCTCCTACTTCATCAGTCTCCCGGGATTTCCATGGTGTGTCTTCTGCTCCACCAAAGGGACTTAATGGGGAACAGATTTGTCTGACCGCAGTTTCTTTTTTCACCTGGTGAACTCTATCCTGAATGGGCCTTTTTGTTTTGTGGTTTTTCAGGATTAAAAGCTAGGACGGTATGTCATTTTTGTCATTGTTGCAATGTTTGGTTTAAAACAGAATATCTGTTTTTAACGTGTGTTATTGCATTTTAATTTGAGCCCATTGTTTCATTCTTATTTTTGTGATTTTTTTTTTGTCCTTTTTTTTTTGTTTGTTTTCTGTTTAGCATTTTCCTTGCTTTGTTGTTTCTGGAGGTGAGTTTCTGGGTTTGTTCCGTTTGCCCAGCACTGTTTTTAAGACCCTCTGTTTCGTACAGCATTTACACCGCTCGGCCTCTTGAGCTGAGCCACGGTACCGACCGCCAGGTCTCTACAGCAAACCATTGGTGCAGCTTCCTCGGCGGCCAGAACGGAGGAGGGGGGAGAAGGGGCCCATTACAGCAGGCGGTGGATGCGCAAAGCACTTTGCGATGCCACTGTCAGGGTACCAGAGGAAGGGAGAGCCGTCCCGCTCGTTCCCATGGGTCACACCGAGACGCCAACCCAAACACGGTTTTATTTTCTGTATTTGCCCGAACTCCCCGCGTTTGGGTTCCTCCTCCGCCTTTTCTATTCCCGCCGGAGATGCACCAATGGCACGTACAAAAGGGGCTGCGCTAAGCACACCCAGTCCAGCGCGGGCCAGCAGACCAGCCGGAGAGGACGCGAGCTGTGGCTCACCTGGTGCCCAGAGCCCGGGGATTTTCCAACGGCCTCTCTTCACCTTTTCTTGGGAAAAGTCTTAAGATAGCAACCACAACAGCAAGCAAACGCTAAATTTGCTAGGTGGTTGCGCTGAAGGTCATGCTGAGTGAAACTTTTTGAGTTTTGTTACTTATGGGTTGTTTTTTTTTTTTTTTTTTAATTCCATGTGGTAATGGGTTACAGTTGTAGCCAGACCCAAGGAAATTATTTAAGCATCGGCTTAGGGTGTAAGTTCTGGATGGGAGGAGAACTTCCCAGATGCGGTGGATGAAACTTTGTTGAGAGTGGCAGAGACAGTTCGTACAATGTTGGCACCAGACCTAAACACGGTCTATAGAATCGCCCACTACCATTTTTCAAAGTTACACGTGCTTCCCAGGAGAACCTTCCAACCTCTAAAGACTTCTTCCTCTCTCCAGGCTCTGACTGGTTTCTGCTGGTCCCTCACATGGTTGTTCAAAGCAGTTTGCATTTTAATTGCACGCCCACAGGTGGATTCTGCCTGTTAATGTGAGCAAGTTGACTACTTGTTGGAAAAGTGCCAAGAGCAAATAGAGGTGACACATCATTTCACAGTGAATTCTCAGAGTTATCTGTCCCTTTTGTACAGGTCTGGGGATGGAGGGGGTGTGTTGGGGAGTTGCTCTGTTTCTCCAGGACATTTTCCATCTCAGAGGTTCCATATTTTCCTTCTGTCTTGGGAATACTGTGGTCCGTTTCCAACTCCCTGTTGGGCTGTCGGAACCCAACAGGACCCAGCAAGAAGTGTGCCTGAACACCCAGCCCATAAAACGTTCCGTGCTGGGGGATGTGTAGACTGGAAGAGGTGTTCTTCTCTTGCTGGCTTGTGACTTCTTCCCTTTCTTTTTTCCCCT